ATTCAAGTCCAGGTTTAGTTAGGTAATTTTAGTACCAAGATAGGCCCAGAATTACTCTACCATTTTATTAGAAACCATGCAGATATGAACGTTTAATACCCGTTTTACATCAACAATTTCTTCACGAATTTATTCAGATGGATTTCTTCAAGGTCATACGGATTATGTTTTGCGGTGGACAAATTTATGTATTATCCATCAGTCAACAATGCCGCCAACCACACAACAAATTCTTCGTAGAAACATTTTGAGTTTTTGTTTTTGTATGTATTGTAGTTTTGATTTTGAGGTGAATATTATACATAGACACCACATTACAATATAATGGATAGTAAAACAAGTCCAGCTTGGCAAAAATTAGAAATTCTAACGCAGAAAGAACTTCATGGATTTAATTTATCGTCAAATTCCTGTTTTACATTTTTAAAATTTGGTCATGGACTCAATTGATGAAGAAATCCGTGGCTTTATCGTCAAAGTAAAACTGGTATAAGAAGAGGGGACATTTTCACGAATTTAATTTACGATAGTTTCTTTGCCCGTTTCACATTCATGACGGAAACACTGTTTTACGTTCAGTAACGATAACACTTGCACTACCGGTTGCGTCTTGTGCGCCGCTACTGTATTACATCTTAGTTCCATTTCTGCACAGGCAATGTTTGTTCGTTTTGAATTGTCTTTCCACTTTCCATATCCACGATCTAAGCAAGACGGATCAAGTCTTTTTTCTAAAAATATCTCTTCCACTTCCACACTGCCTTTGACAGTGATTGTATGATCGCTACAGTCTTGTCAATTTTCTCTCTGTTTTCAAGCGCCATGGCAGCCACACGAGAAAGAAGTTTCATCATGATCAAACCTGACGGTGTCCAAAGGGGCCTCGTTGGAGAAATCATCAAAAGATTCGAACAGAAAGGGTTTAAACTCGTCGCACTCAAGTTCGTTTGGGTTAGTATTTACATTTGTATTGGGTGAAAAAGCCGGCGTGGCACTTCATCGACGTCATTTGTTTCACCGTATTCCTTTTGTTTAACCTTACTCTTCATTTTTTAAACTGCCGGCAAAGATAATTTGGGCTTTGTATAATTGCAATTTCAATGTTGTTAATGGATAATGATATAGCCTTTTTTCACGATAATGAAGAAATCATATCATGCATGGGAAAATTCACGTCTACGTATGCCAAACATTATTTATTACACAGACAAATCTACGATTTTCCTTTTATTTTCTTTTTCAAGGTAATCAATACAGGTACCTATGTCACTGGTACTATAGGCGTATTTTTAATCCACCGTTGGAGCCACCGGTGCAACCAAAATTTCCGTCTGAGTGACCGGTTGTACACCAAACTTGTTTATAAACTATATACACAAGTTTGGTATACAACCGGTCGCTCAGACGGAAATCAAAAGAAGAAAAATTGATTAATTGCTTGCACCAGTGGCCCACCAGTGAATTAAAAAATAGGCCTTATTTCACATGCATTTTTCATGGATTTAAAAAATAAAGGGAATCAGTGTTGTGCTTCCATTCCGAATATCTCACGGCTACTGGTGATTATTTTATAGTTTACCATTGTTTCCGGAATATGTCAGCATAAGCACATGTAGGGAAAAGAGTAAAAATGGGAGCTGCAGATTTAGTCTGATACTTCTTAATGGGTGCTTCATTTAGAAATACTTCAATGGTGTACCTCGGGGGGACAGGGGTGGGCAGCTGCTCCCCCCCTTTTCCCTATCTCGGCAAAAATTAAACTAACATTTTTTACAAAAATTAAATTCTTCATGTATAGGGTTCTCCACAACTGAATGTCACATGATCAGTATTTGCTGTGGTCGGTACCATCAAAGGATTTCTGCATAAAATTATGCATCAATAATGACAGACCCAGGCTACCCTGCATGGTCAATAAATATCACATCTCATGATGAATATGATAAATGGAACTTTGACAGTTTGTGAAGTATTTCCAAATTTACTCTTATGTAATTTTTTGTTTCTCCTGGCTCTAGTCCAAAACAAAACATGGTCTAGAAATTTCAAACAAATTACAGATCCACTTTTTCTCTTCTACATGGTGGCATAATTAGAATTTCAATCTGACATTTCAACTCCCAGTTTTTTTTAAATTATACCATTTCCTATGTCTTCATGATTACCCTTAGATAATATAAATGAATTATATTATGTTGTACCTCATTCAATGAGTTAAAACCAACTATATGAAGTTAGGCACTTGAAGTTTTATATCAGTGTGTAACATGTTATCATCTTTTATATACTATGAAATAAGTGACTATATGATACTTTCAAGGCCAACTCAATAAAATTTTTGTTTTAATGTATGACATGCTGTAATATTTGAAATCAGAATTAAGTGATTCACCTATGCAAAACGTTGACGAGGGGGGATGAGATGAAAAATCATATTCAGGTTCTCTTTATGCCACCTTGCAGAGATCAAAAAGTGGCAATGTTAATGTGTAGTTCATTTATCTCTGGAGATACTGGAAGCATCAAAACTTTTCAACTGCATTTTCCAAAATATACAGGGTGACTTTGAAGTTGAGTCATTTATTTTAACAGTGAGTAGATCAGATCAAAAGAAATGTTTTTTTCCTTTACCATTTTTCTGGTAAAATTAAAGTAACAAAGTTATAGCCCTTTGGAAGTTTGAGTACCGCCCTGTCTCAATATCATCATGTGCTCGTGTTTGGCAACAACGGATATAATCCACCTTATCGGTTCATCGCATCGGAAACAAAAAAGCGAAAGAATTTGGAACGATGTTTACTTTATTCAGTTCAGTTATACATACAATCAGTGTCAGTCGCGTGTGCTCAAACGAAATAAAAAATGGCACATGTTTATGCGGATCGGTTTCCCAATCGAGTGCAACCAACCCCTCGTGCCTTTGTTAATAGTAGTACAACGGGCTCGTGAATCAGGTGACTTCAGACCTCACAGGGGACCTCACGATCAAATACAGGTCCGCACTGAAATACTTGTCGGGAGGATACTTTATAAAACAAGGTAAAAATTTTTTTTTATTTTTTTTTTATTTTTACACACATATTTTGGTTTATCTTCCTTCTACAATCATTATCTGAAAATTAATGACTCAACTTCAAAGTCACCCTGTATATGTGGTATATCCTTCTCCTTTTGACCATGGTACAGTAACAGCCAACATGCTCCCCTCACCACCAAACAGGGCTACACAAGAAAAAAAATTCTTGAAAAACAATTTAAAAATCAGATTTAAAAGAAAATGTCACAAACACACAGTAACAAGGCACTTACTGAATACAATGAAAGAAAGCTTGGTACAAAAAAGAGGAATATGTTAATACAAGATACATATTGACAGCCAGATAGAACAAAGACAAAAATTATTCAAAAATTGAAACAATGTTTTCAAAAACGTATTGCTTGACTTTCTTTGCAAAACTAAATTTAAGTGTCCTCACACTTGATGGAAATCTATTGTATAAATTGGGTTATATAAGAAAATGACTTCCTAAATTGGGCAGTTTTATGATAAGGTAAGTTCAGAGTGTAACCCACAAATTGTAAGTTAACACAATGCTGTTCACACCTCAAACTAAGCTTACTATTAAGGAATAGCTTTGTTTTTGTCATCAGCATAGCGTGGACTGGACTAGAGTCATTAAATGAAGAGAGAGAATAGCTTTATAACTGTAAAGTGTTTTAACTTTTGCATAAGAGTTCTGAACGACTTTTGTGACATGATCGGGGAACGTTAGATATTCATCATGAAAGAAATGATGTTCAGAAACTGAATGTCAAGTGTTGTTCTTTTCTTCATTATTAAAGTTGACCTGACAAAGTGGTTTTCATATTTGCTGTACCTCTAAATAAATCTCCTGTTGGTTGCTTGGCTTTTTGACACGTTTCTATGAAGAAAATTGAAGTAACCATATAAAAATTATTCCATGCTAATACAAATAATCATTCTTTCTACAGCCCACTGAAGACCTTCTGAAGAAGCACTATGCTGACTTGTCAGACAAGCCATTCTTCCCAGCCTTAGTTAAATACATGGCCTCAGGCCCAGTTGTTCCTATGGTATGGGAGGGCCTGAATGTTGTTAAAACTGGAAGAGTGATGCTAGGTGCTACAAACCCTGCTGACAGTGCCCCAGGTACAATAAGAGGAGATCTTTGCATCCAGATGGGTCGCAACATTTGCCATGGATCTGACTCTGTGGAGTCTGCAAAGAAGGAAATTGGTCTGTGGTTCACAGAGAAGGAAGTTGTTGCCTGGTCACCTGCCAATGACTGCTGGGTATATGAAGATTAAGCATTTAAGATCTTATATAAATTATTTTTACTTGATATTATGTATAGAATAAAATGAGAATAAATGTTTTCATTCAACTTTTATTTCTGTATTTCAGAATACTGTTTTTATTTTCTTTCATCTTTACACATTGAATGCTTGCCTACAAAACTCAACAATATAAATATTTCACTTCATTTTCATGCAAACCTGATATAATTAATGCAAAACTCAACTCGTGCTAAATAAGAAGTGGATATAGCTATGTAATGTCAGTCCTTATGACTGACATGACATTAGAATATTTGTGTCAGTTATAATATGGCCATCAGAGTGTAAAGAAAAAATGGTAGCAAATAGTTCCATACACTTCTCTTGGATAATGTAAACAGTTGATTGCAAAAACTCCTTAAAAAAAATATAGTATATCTAATATGATCTATTATACAGATATCTTGAAACTAACAAAAATAGAAAACTAAGACCTGTTAATCCTCATAGTGAACATGTTAAATGTATCTTTTTGAACTTGGAGATATGAAATAAAAATACATTCATAATGTGAGAACTTTCTTTTCATTTGACATAGGTCCTTTTATATGCACAAAAAAATTAAGTATTTCAGAATGAAATCTTCATTTTTCACTTTATACTAGTATTATATTTTTTTAATGATCTTAAATTTGATATTATTACCAAAAGTTTTTAGCTTCCAACAAAACATGTTTAGATTTATCATCTTTCAAATATGGTGGTGTAAATTCCCTATAAGCCAAACAAACTCTCCTTATTTTAACATCTTCCCTCAAGATACGATGCTCCCAATTATACCTAGCTGACCCATACATAACTAGTAATGATCTACAAGGCATTGGAATCCTTACTATTGGAAATGAAATTTGACCATTCAATGGTCTTACTTTAAATGGCTCATTACTATCACTAAGTTCACCATGTCCATCAAGTACAGCAGGATAAGTTTCTACACAATCTAGATTATACCTTGTAGGTTTATCATTGTAACTCATTGTGAGTACAGAATCTGAAAGTAAGTTAACAGTCACTATTCTTTCACCCCAAATCCAACAGTCATCAATATGTGGATCTATTGAGGCACCTCTTTCAGGAGTATACTCTAAGGAACACTGTTCTACCGTTTGAAATCCTTTCATGATGGGAATTTTTTCAAATTTTTCTTGGACAAACTTTGTTGTTTCTGGAAAGCCCTTGAAATCACCCAGTCTTAGTTTTCGTTTTTTAAAATTACATTTTGGCCCAAAGTTTTGTTTCCTGCGCCCACTCTGTGATGAGTCCCATGGCAAATTATCAAGGCTAGAAGCGAGTTCCAGTTCTTCCGTCTTTGAAAGGAAATCTAGATCAATGAAGATTCCAGGGAAATGCAACGGGTTTCCGGTGTGATCAGGGTGACGCTTGTACTCGTTCAAATCCCAGCCAGGCCAAGCCTTCTTGCACCAAGGGCAGTACATGTACGAACCATTCTCCAAGTTCAAATGAGTGTTCTCTGGAGATATGTTGTATTCCTTTTCGCATAAAATGCAGGTTCTGCGCCCCTTGCACCCGCACGGTCGAGGCTTATCCATTTTCCCTCGACAGTGTTCTCAAGAAAATTTATCCGAAAAACAGGGAAAAATGTTCTTGGTGAAAGTGAAAGGCCTCATTGTGTAAGCCCAACATCAAAGATCTGTCGCTCAACAACCAACAACTAAAACTAACCTCTTCGACTTCGATGGGGATTACAATTACACGATGACAGGACAGATTAAGGTAGATCAACCAATGAATAAAGAAATAAGAAATAGTGGCACACCTGATCGTTAAACCACACTATTTATGTAATGATTGGCGGACAGTGTTGCCAGAAGTAGCGGAATTCCGCTACTGGTAGCGGAATTTTCAAGTGGTAGCGGCGGAATTGGATTTTTTGTTAAAAGTAGCGGAATTTTGCAATTTAGGTACACATGATGGATATTTTTACCAGAAGAAAAAAAATGAGTGCAGTTAGTAACCAAATCTAAATACAGATATCTTTCCAATCGACCGTGGTAACCACCGGTCGGTAATAATTCTTATTCAAGGGAGACGCGTATAGATGGTAGTAGGTGGAAAACAACCTGTGAAGTGTATTTCCAAAGTATGTCTAATAATTTTAACATTTGCCACATGGTTAATGCAGATGTCGAGTGGACATTCTCATATATGGAGATAATCAAAACAAAGAAAAGGAATCGTATTTTACCTTCAACTTTGTTCGCGATAGTTATCAAACTGGATACAATACAAAAAAATGTTGCTTTTTAGACTTCGAGTTTGGTGAAAAACATTTTAAAAAATACAAAAATAATTTATATAGTATAGAGAGAACGGAAGTGCAACCAGAAGAATCTGATACAGACAGTAACTAAGTTTAAGTAACTCAAAAACTTTTTTATGCAAAACAGAAATGGCCTTTAGTCATATGCTTTTTATTTTTTAATTTCCTGTGATATTTTTTTAATATGACTGCGTGATAAATGCTCTGTTGTTTGACAGTTATTTGTAATATTGTATTGGTTTTTATAATCATTTTTTTTTTATTACAGTTTTCTGTTATATTTTATCGCGCTGTTTGGTTTTTGTTTTCCTTTTTTGACACAACCTGTATAATAAATGCCCCCCTGTTTTATGATAGTGCGCCAACCCCCTATTTCACGAGCATCTATCACACCTTGACGTCTACTGAGGTGAACAGCTGAACAACAAGTGACATTTTTGTGTTAGTCTGCGACGTTGGCAGTAATGAATCTGGTGTAAATCTAATAAAACTTGTTTTGTAGCGTTTTGTGCAAATGAGCTTTTCTAATAAAAGAGCTGTTAGCAAGTACAAAATGAATCTAGCTTACAAAAAACCAAAACAAAATACGGCTCTGACGTTGACGGATCCGTCAGAATTATGTGTCCTGTGCCGATATATGGAGAATTTTGAGATATTACTAGATAATCGGCTGTCATTCTACTGTTATGTATATTCGTGGAATAATAGGGTATATATTTTAACTAGATATATTTGATGCCCACCCTTCTGCTGTATTTGAACATTCCCAGTTTCCATCATGACAGCAATGTTGCCAAGTAGAATTGCAGTAATTGCCCCGCCAAAATCAAAATCAGACTTCATTTTCCTTTTAAAGATTTTCTTTATATAAACATGACATTAAGCTTTCCGATCAAACTACTTAATAATTATTGCCAAGTATAAGTACCACTGATTAATATATTCTACCTGAAGATAGTTGACCTAATAGTATATGCTCCTGCATCCAAAATTTGAATTTGTGACATATCTGCTTTCCTCTTCACATGTCAGCACCACCTAAATGCAAAGGTCCTCGACCGCCTTGAGAAGCAACGACGAGTAATATGTCAGCACTAATCAGAGATCGACTTTCAAAAGGTTAGTGTCTCACATAGGTGGCACTGAAGCAAAATACATGCTAATATAATAGTCACAGTAATAGTTTTCTACATCTTCATCTATGTTCTATGAGATATTGAGATACTAACCTTTTCGAAGTAGATTTCAAACTAAGTATTTAGTATTGAGAGGGGAAACATATAGCTGTGTCAAATTCCCTAAGGTGACAATGATACGCTGTCTCATATTTCATCTCGGATCATTTTCCATTAGGTTGGGTATCTTTTGGTAAAATACGTTAATCGATGAGTATAATGGAATGCACCAACAATTTTACCGCGAGGGCTGAAGTACCTGCATTTCGCAACTATGGATATTGAATAGAGATCTAAAACCAAACAAGTTACTAAATTCTGCTGGAGTTCTAAAGATAGGGGATTTTGGCCTCGTTAAGCTATATGGATCACCAAATAGAGTGAATACCCATCAAGTAGTTACAATAAGATGGTATAGAGCTCCAGAGCCGTTATATATGGAGCTAAACAATATATGGGACATGTATTGACATATGGGCAGTTAGTAATAAATAGATCATTTTCTAAAAGCAAAATGTTCGGCTGCTGCTAATTAATTTTCAGGGAGGCTGTTTTTTAGTAGATCTTGTGTTGAGACTGTTTCTAAGAGAGTCCGATTTGGATCAACTAACAAAGATTTTCTCAGTGTTTGGTAATCCAACAGAAGAAACTTGGCCTGGTGTTAAGCTGCCTTCTGACTATATTGACTTCAAGACTTTGCGTCTGCACTACTGAAAAACATATTTACTGCTGCAGGTAACATATCAGTAGGCTTTTTTACAAATACAAAAACTTCGATGCCCAAGTTTGACATTTTTTCCCAAGAACCTAGACGTATCCCACCCCTCACTCTTCAGTTGTTCAACTGTATGTTTTTATCCTATCGATGCAGAGCAGAAAATTCTTCATCTGAAATGACCTTTTGACCATGACCACAACGTGACTCATAGATCAATTAATCACAAGGTTATTTATCTTTTGTACAGACATGAGGATTATAAACTACACACTACACAGGTCCAATTTGATTTTCAAGGTTGACCTTGAATGTCAGTTTCAGTTTCAAAAAAGTAGTGATTTTCGCTCTGCCTATCGGTGGGTAAAAGATATGGTCCCATTTAAAATGTTCAAGTTGACCTCTAAATGACCTTGATGGTTATGGTCATGCACAGCCTTCTTAAACTAACAAGCCATGCTGAAGAAAACTGGCAACAATGCATGGTAGTCCGATAATTGTCTCCCACGCCCATTGTTTGGATTGTGTTCACGGTGTGTATGAGCAAAATAAGGTGTTATATTTGAGTGTCTTTCCTCGAAAAAGGGATATGTTATTGATCGAATAACAGATTTCATCAAAAAGTGTGTATACATCATTATCAATTACGGTAAGTTCATAGAAAACTGCATAAATGTTCTTTTCTAGGTTATGTATGCAAAAAGCGTTTTTCCTGTAAAATATTCCAAAAAAATGTAGTAGTTATGTTTTTGAACATATTTCTCTGCTTTAAATCATATATATGGTGTTTCTCTATAGTTGTATCTGTTTAGAATTATTTGAATCAATTAATAAATACAACTGTCTATTGTTTTAGATGCCTCGTCGGTGTTGTGTTCCTGGTTGTAAGGGAAACTATGATACCACTCTGAAAGCTGAGGATCCTGTCTCTACATTTTCATTCCCAAAAGAACAAGAGCTGTTGGAAAAATGGATCAGGGCCATACCAAGAAAAGACTGGATTCCTACAAAAAGTAGTGCAGTTTGTGCCAACCATTTTTGTGACAGTGATATTGTGCGGTTCAGTGAATTTACTTTGCCCAATGGACAAATAAATAAAATACCTCTGAAATACCCCAAATTAAACCAGAACGCTGTTCCAAGTAAGTTTTGCAATCTCCCAAAATATCTATCGCTTGAAACCAAAGCAAAAAGGACTGACCCCGAAAAAAGAAGAGAAGCCATTATCCAAAGGCAAGAAGAAGAAATTGAAAACTTTTTAAAAACTGATATCATATCTTCTTTCTCTGATTTGAAGGAGAATTTTGAAAAACAATGTATTTCTAACTGGGAATATAAACTATATGACCACAACTTGTACTTTTACAACTTAACCATCGGTGAGTGCTTGACAGTGAATAATACAATTAAAATTGATGAGTCCCTACATGTTAAGGTTTTTTTAAGAGGAAATGAACTGACAGCAAGTGACCTAAAATGGATTTTGCCATGTAATTTAAAATTAGAGAGATGGTCACAGCTAAACAATTTATTATCTCATTATAATTCAACAAATAATTTTAATGAATCACTTTCAATAATGGACCTGCTTAACAGAGCAATAGAATTGATATCAAAAGCTTATGTCAAATGTGAAGATGAAGCATTTGCTTATAACAAACATCTTGAATTAATCATTGACCAGTTGAAGCAAATGGTTTTTAACAAAAATCGGTATTGTCCTGCAACAATTATCATGTCATTTATAATATATTCCCAGTCTCCTTCTTGCTACAATGTTATAAGAGACTTTTTTGTGCTTCCTCATAAAAGATACCTCCAAAGTATCTCATCATCTTTACATGTCTCACCTAGAGATGATATGAATAACAAAAATTACTTGCTTAATATCTGTAAAGGGCTTTCTGATAATGAAAAAATAGTAGCATTGATTATCGATGAAATATATGTATCAAGTAGGATGGATTATAGATCACAAAGTTTAGTTGGCTCTGCGGAAAATGAAAATTCTACTGGTGACTGTGAGTTTGCCAAAACAATTGTAACATTTATGATAAGTTCAGTCTTTGGTCAAATGAATGAAGTTATAAAACTGTGGCCTGTACATAATGTTAAAGGGTTAGAACTAGCAAAAATGACTAAAGATGTGATTGATTTACTCCAAGCCTGCAATTTCGAAATTATATGTATAATAACAGATAACCATTCAATAAACAGAATTATGTTTAAAAATCTCTCGCATAATGGATTTTGGTTCTCAAATCCAAAAAGTTCTGAAAAAAACATATTTCTTTTATTTGATTTTGTGCATATATTCAAAAATATTTGGAAAAATTGGATCAACCTTAAAAACCTTCATAAAACTTTTGTTTGTTATGATTTTACAAATGACGAATTGAAATACGCAAAATTTCAACATATTGAAAATATTTATGAGAAAGAAAAGTGTTTATTGACTAAACAAGCATACAAATTGAATTTTAAATCTTTGTATCCATCGACACTGGAAAGACAAAAAGTACATTTAGCTGACAATGTGTTCCACCAGTCCACGATATCAGCCCTGAAATGTGTTCCAGAGTATCAGGATACAGCTGATTTTGTGGAAATTATTAGAAAATGGTGGGACATTGTTAACACCAGAGATGTATTAAAAGGCACCATAAAGAGGAATGACTGGTGTAAGCCTTTTGAAAGCATTTCTGACGAAAGGATTCACTTTCTAGAACAATTTGTTGTTTGGCTCGATAAATGGCACAAAATTGAGAATAATAATGGTCACCTTACTAATGAAACATTCCAAGCAATCAAACAAAGTACCTATGTTTTAATAGAGATTATAAAATACTGTTTCCAAAATTATTCCATTAAATTTATATTACCAGGAAAATTTAGTAGTGAAAATTTAGAAAAAAGATTTGGTGTTTATCGAATCCTCTCAGGCTGCAATTACAATGTATCATTAGACGATGTTTTGTCTGCTGAAAATAAAATTAGAGTAAAACATATTTTCAAAGGTATAAATAAGAATGTTACATTAGCAAATATAAAAGAACAGTTTTCAATGATTTCCGACAATGATATTTTAGATTCGTTTGAAAGCAATCAATGTTTATTGAGCGACTTTGTTTTCATATTGAAATCAAACTATTTGCAAGTTGTGGATGTTGATGAATCAACAAAAATATATACTTCTGGATATGCGAGTCATGCAATAACAAAAAAACTTAACAACTGTGAAAGCTGCATTTCCCTTGTACACATGGATAAAGGAAAATTAACAGGGAATGATTACTTCGATTACCTCCAGCGAAATGGTTTATCAATACCTTCTGAACGAGTTTCTTATATTTTCTACCATATGGCTTCAATAATGCAATTCATAATGGGTAATAAAGATTGTGAAGTTAAATTTATTGGGTGTCGTCAACAGAAACTTCTTCTGTGTCTGCTCACAATTGAAAGTATAAAATCGGATCATTATTATGATGATTTTGCACAAACATGTAAAATTTGTAATAGGAAATATGAAAAAATTCTGAATATGATTTGCTCCATTTTCAGCAACATTTTTCTGAATAACTATGTTAAAAATAAAAATAATGCTAATATTGAAAATCAAAAACTGAAAAATAAAAAGCTTGCAGACTCGCATAACTCACAGAAGAAAAGAAAGATGTGTACCTTTCATAAATGAGTTAACCTATGTATATGAAATATTATATTATATTATATCTCATTTAAGCTTAAGTTGTGTAGTTAAAAATTGTGTTCTAGATAGTAATATGTTGATGCTCAAGGAACTTTTATAAAATTTCTTTCTAATAAATATTGTATGTTTTGCAGTTATTTAATTTGTTTTATTTCACCACTATACTAAATACAAACTCTCATGCCATACTATCAGCTTAGGAAATTATATTATAATTTTCAACATATTTTATACTCTGCTGCAGTCTCTGCATACCCCTGCATAGTTGCATACCCGTATTGTGATTAGATTAGCCACAGCCTGGATTAGCCTATTGTAGTCGTCAGACCACCGCAGCGCGTCGGACTACCCATAACAGCTGATGCGACGTTGCCACATATATGAGCACGGCTTGTTAGTTTAAGAAGGCTGTGGGTCATGTTATGGTCAAGTTATCGTCGAAGTCAGTACACCGTATTTCACGAGTATCCATCACGGAACAATGACAGCTAGTTATCTAGTAATGTTTCAAAATTCCCCATATCGGCACAAGATACATAATTCTGACGGATCCGTCAAAGTCAGGTAGCCAGAGCTGTATTTTGTTTTGGTTTTTTGTACTCTACAGATTCATTTCGTACTTGCTAACAGCTCTTTTATTTAGAAAAGTTCGTTTGCATGCAAAAAACAAAAGGCTAGTTTTACTAGATTTACACACGATTCACTATTGCCAACGTCGGTAGGGTTTGAACACCCTGTATAGTTTTAATTTCCTCTTATTTGATTTTTAGGGGATGCTTTGTTAGAACTCATAGAATCTACGTTAGTGTTAAATCATAGATTATAATGAAATTGTTGGATTTGGCAAATAGATGTGTTCTAGCGAAAAAATGTTGTTTTGACATCTATGTTATTATATGAATACCTTTTTGTATGATACCTATAATAGCTACTTCTTTTTGTTATTCATCCTTGCCTTCTTCTTTCAGTACTCCATGATTGACATTTATGACAGTTCCAAAATATTTTGGTTATGTTGTTGATCATGTTGATTGATTGGTTTGTAGATGTTGTGATCATACTAATTATTTGTTTTTTAATCGAAATCGCTGTGCGACTGTCTATCTATAGCATCGTGAGGGCCTCGGAGCTCCACCAAAAGATTCTGTGACACGTACATTCTTATTCACAGTGCTTCAGACTGAACATAATTATTGTAGGATCTTGCTTTAGGTCTTACCGGTTTTAACTACTGTAAAATATGTCCAAATTAACTGAACACGACCTATATGGCACCAATTTCTCTATAGAATCGGTTAAGGTGATAGCAGAAAGTATAGGTAAGCAGCAAAAAATACCATATACGTGGAATCGCATAGAAGTCACATATTGCATTCTACAATCTCTGTATCATAAAACCTGATTAAATGAATGAGTTGTATTTTAATGAACCAATTTTTAATTTTATAGGTATAGGTTTTTTAGCAGATGATGATGCAGCCAAAGAACTTGCAGAGGATCTTTCATATAGAGTGAAACATATAATTCAAGATGCTGCTAAATTCATGCACCATGCCAAGCGTACGAAATTAATGCCTTCAGATGTGGATGCTGCTCTTAAAGTCAAGAGCTTTGAGGTAATAGGGTTTTGTAGTGATAAGTGCAAATGTTTTAATAATTTCCCTAATTTTAGCCCCAATATGGTTTCCAAGCATCCGAACCTTTGCCATTCCGATTTGCCTCAGGAGGTGGTAGAGAACTACACTTTATTGAAGAAAAAGAAGTTGATCTGAATGATTTACTGCAGAATATGAACCCTAAAGCTCCCTTGGAATGCACACTCAGGTCCCATTGGCTCTGCATTGATGGTATTCAGCCAACTATACCTGAAAATCCCCCACCTGCTACAAAAAGTGCGCAAAAGGTACAAAACAAATTTAGATTTTGGCCTCAAAATAATTTTGCCAAAGTATACTCTATTGTACTAATTTTTGCTCCAGTTTTGCTTAGCTCAACTCAATTTTTCTTGAAACAACCATTTTTGTTGTTAAATCTAGTTTTCCCAATTTGGTATATAAAAAAGTTTTTTTTTCTTTTATGCAAGGCTATTTTTCATAATGAGTTTGTTTATTTTTTGTAGATTTATTTAGCATTGATGTTACAACATCAAATATGTATATCACATAATATGTATATTATGTCTTCAAGACTACATATTTTTAAACAAAATTTCACTACTATGAATTCTGTTTTATCATGAAACATTTTTTTGATTTCCCTAATTAAACATTTTCAAACTGGCACACATCTTGATATCATTACTTAATTTATTAAATTCATACAATCCTTTTTGAAATGCTGATTTGTTTGTTATATTGCTACTACAATTTTGTAAATGAGTGTTCTAAAATATTTCTATATGTCAATAATTTCACAGATTTAAAATATATTCAGCAGGTAATAGGCTTACTTTTGCATTCTCTTGGTTGGTGCTCACCATCTGTTGTGGTCAAGTTGCCTTATACAGCTAATATTCTAACAGTTAGATAAGGTTGACTTGACTATTTCACACTAGGCAAACAAACATGTCTTGAGTAGGTATATAAGTTAGGGTTGCAACAGATATTCAGTTACCATCTGGTATCCACCATTATCACTGAATTAGTAAATAAAATTTACCAACAGCGAATGTGAGTTTTTCTATGATTACAGGCTAAAGCTGGTTTCACTGCTCGTACATTATGCATGCCTTAATAATAATAATATTCATTGGAGTATCAATACATAATAGAATCAACTTATGAACAAATAATAGAATACAAAAGTAATACCACTGAAGACTAAGGATTGTCATAACCCCTGCCTGAGTAGCTAATATAAATAAAACAAGATAACCTTGCACTCTATACACTGCTATAAGGACATGGCAGATGTACTTAGACATTATTAGGTACAATAGGCTATCCACCATGTATATGGATTATCACTTTACTTACTTCTAACAGTTTCAGCTAAATGTTCTCTACCAATAGCATTTTTTGTGAGACAGTTTGTATGGTCCAAGGTCTTTGCTTCCACCACCTCATTGAATGAGTTCAAAAAAGTTTTGTGAGTTTGTTGCTAGGTGGGAGCGTATCTGCTCCACTGCTGGCAGAATATTCACTTTAAGGTAAATGGCTCTATGAGCGATTTCAATCAAAGTAATGAACCAGATATATATGTTATCAGGCTACTTTACTATCTGCTGCAACCCTAATATAAATGCATAAGAGTATCAAAAGCATTCTTGAATCATATTTTATTATGTAATTATTTTGTCAGCAAGAATCAGTTGACCCAGCAAATAAAAAACCAGTAAAAGAAACATCTGGAAAACCAACAACAGGCAAGCAAAAACTGAGAAATGTTGAGACTGTACAAATCAAACAACTAGCGACGCATGAACTGTCAGTAGAACAGCAACTTTATTATAAAGAAATTACGGAAGCTTGTGTTGGATCTGATGAAGGCAGGAGAGCTGTAAGTATATAAATCAATACAAAAATTTTTTTTTACTAATACCCTATGTGCAAAAATTAATATGTAGAATTAAAAATTCTAGCATTCTTAGGTCCGGTTTTTCAGTAGTAGTTCAATTGTGATTTTAAAGCTAACCAGAAGTAAACTCTTCAAATGTGTTTTTCAATTTGTCCTAAAACGGTAGTTAACTTTAACCATAAGACTATCTACTCATTAACTAGAAAGTTGTAGTTACACTGCAACTTCTACCTTTTTTTTGCTTGACAGTGATATGAGTAGTCGCGGATGATACAACATAAATACGATATTTCAGACATAAAGGCAAATCAACCGTAACCGTAACCAGATATTGAAAAATGAATTTACAACTAATAGTTAACTTACAAGTTATAGTTACCAAACTTGAAAGCTAATTAGCGATTTAAAAACCGGGCTTCATTGTTTATCCCTTTCTGTGTGTTCGGTCCAATTTATGAAATACTCCATATTGTTTATACTGTTGAGCTGACGAATTTTATGAAATCAATCATAGCTTTGTTTTTTGCTTGTAGGAAGCTCTGCAAAGCCTTGCATCTGACCCTGGTCTACATGAGATGCTGCCTAGGATGTGTACCTTCATTATAGAAGGTGTGAGAGTGAATGTTGTACAGAATAATTTGGCTCTTTTAATTTATCTTATGAGGATGGTGAAAGCCCTTCTAGACAATCAATCACTTTACTTGGAAAAGTATGTAAGTATGCAGGTCACAGTTTCTTTTTATAACATTAAGCATATGACTATTTATTTATTTATCTTAATGTTAAAGCATTTTACAATAGAAAATTCAAGAAATTTGAATGTTTAACAGACATAAATGTTTATACAAGATGACTTAAATGCTTAAAAATCATGATCACACTACATTTAAAAGTCACAAATTAAAAATATGACATAATATATAAAAAATCCGGATCAGCATTATCACTTACATAAGAGATGGGCTGATTCAGAGTGAGATTTTGGGAATGTCTGCTAAATCTATTGCAGTACAACATGTTGTCTCCTCATGTACTCAATCTGCAGATGTTCATTTTCCTGCCTCATTCTATATTGTAGATTCCATAAAAACTTGTTTTGTAAGGCTTGGCATCAATGCGTTTTTTGTACATCTCGTAATATGGGTTCCAGATGGTTGACCCGTATTCGAATAACGATCTTACTAATGAGGAAAAAAGCTTGTCCATACAATTCAAGTCGCTAAGATGTCGAGATGTTCGTAATATCAGTCTCACAATGCTATTAGCTTTGTCAATAATATACTGGTAGTGATCTGTAAATGTTAGCTTACAATCGAGGTAGACGCCTAGGTCTTTAACTACACTCATAACAGCTTCTACTATGAGTAAAAACGATATGTTTATCAACATTTATTGGTAGGTATCAGGTATTTATCTAGAAATTATTCAACTGATACCATTGTTGTTGTTGAAGATTTATTTAGCATTAATGCTACAATGTCAATTTTGCATAATGATTCGGTTACATATTTTTCTTCAATCCGTTTTCTGTAATTTTACATTCTTGTCTATTAAAATTAAAATTACGTCACTGTGTATTTTGATTATTCATAAAGTGATTTTTTATTTTCACCTTGCACATTTTTGAATATCGAACTCTGTTTAATATCATTATTCAATTGATTAAATTCAAATACTCCCTTTTGAAATATAGATTTACTAGTTATACTACTATTAAAATTTTGCAGATGAAAATCTATACTGCCTCTATTTTCGTAGTTGTGATAATGACTATTTAATTTTGTAAAGTTCTCTAAATGTGGTGGTAATAAATGATTTTTTAATTTGAATATGAAAACGAGAACTAAATAATATATGAAATTTTTCACCTCCAACCACTGCAGTTCTTCTAACATAGACTTAATCCTATCATATTTGCTTTTATTTAAAATGATTCTCATAGTTTTATTTTGTTGAATTTGTAATTTTGAAAATATGTTTTCATTTGCTGTAAACCAGATGGTTGAACAATATAAAAAATGGGGAAGAATTGTGTGAATTTTTGGAATACATACTAAGATTATGGGAAACTCTATAGAAGTAATTTATCTTTTTCGATATTTTTTAAATTAATAATGTATTCATAATCTTCGTGAAACAGTAGCTTAGTATCCACATATATACCAAGATATTTAAATGAGTCGACTACTTCAATTTTTTCATCATTAATCATGAGCCTAATTGTTTTATATTATATTTTGTTTTATAAGTATTTAATTTAAGTTTATTGACATTCGCCCAATTCATAATTTTTTCAATATCACTATTTAAACAGTTCTAAAGCAGTGTCCAAATGCTTATGTGCTATATATAAAGTGTATCGTCCTCAAATATTTGAATTGTTCAGCGTTCTAAAATGTCAAAGATATCATTTATATAAATAATAAATAGTAACGGCTCTAATTTACTCCCCTGTGGCACCCCTACTGATATATTTTGAACACTTGAATAATATTTCCAATTTTAGTTTTTTGACTTCTATTTACTAAATAATTTTGTAAAATGTGTAATATCCTTTAAAGCCATAGTGACGCAATTTCATTAACAATATTTCCCTATCTATAGTCTCAAACACCCTTTTGAGGTCTAAAAATATTGTTAGAATATATTCTTTCTCATATATACTTCTTCTCCAGTCTTCCACCACCATTTGGATTGCCGTTTCTGTGGAACATTTTTTTCTAAATCCGGCTTGATGTTTTATCAAAATGTTGGTTTTTTCAATGAATTCTATGATTTGTTGGTATATCCCTTCGAACAGCTTCTCGACATCGGGCACGACATTAATCGGTCGCATATTTGTATACAGTTGAGAATTTTGAACTTTTGGCACAGAAGTAATGGTAGAACACTTTAATTTTGATGGGAATTCACCATGTACTAAACAATGATTCACCAATAATAATTTCACTGCAATTATATTAAAACAATCATTTAGAATAATTTTTGAGAGATTCTCACTTGGATTTTTATTAGATTTCAATTTTGAGATAGCTTTTCTTAGATTGTTGATGTTAATTGTCCTGAATTGCTTCATTGATGAATTCTGACATACTTGTAATGGACATAAGTTTGGATCACCGTCATCAATCTTCTTCACTATTTGTACCAAAATATTTATATACTCCTGAAGCATCTCACACATAGATTTCCATTTTGACCTTGGATTCAGAATTTGCCGGGCGCATGTTTAGGTACCTTTAGGTGGAATATGTTAAGTATTTATATTTCTTAGATGACGCTAGGTTTTTCGGATTCATTTTTGGCTATCTTGAGGTAGAATAGATTAATCAATGATGTTACCGAAATATCAGTTTTGAGTTTAATGGAAATATTTTAAATTTGCCCCAGTTTTATATGAATAATAATATTTATTCACATCAGTTATAAATTATGAATACGTTGATATGTCACAAAAGGAAAATATTCGAGTGTGTGGATATCCTGCTAACACACAACACAGTAGTTACAATAAATTAATTCTTAGGGGCTAGAAACAATCTACATAATGTTAATTTTGTATCGTAGATTAGTAATGCGGAAAAGATTTTATGTTAGTGTTTTCATAAATCACGTCATTTTAGAATTCAATAGCCATTCATGCAAATCTATTTTTAATAATGATATTTGTTTTTTTCTAATATATATTGGTAAGTTATGATATAATTTTGGGCCTAAGTATATAAATGATTACAAAATTATTTCCTTTTTTGGTGTTGCATTAATTATTTGTTTATTTTTATTTCTAGTATATACATAATTTTTATGAATTCTAATAAAACATGTTTTGATTCTATAAACGAATAAACTTCCCACTTTTGTCCTTAGCTTCACGAGCTTATCCCCTCGGTGACAACATGCATCGTCTCGAAGCAACTCTGCATGCGACCTGAGCTCGATAACCATTGGGCACTGCGGGACTTCGCCTCGCGCCTAATGGCGCAGATCTGCAAGAACTTCAACACGTCGACCAATAACGTGCAGACGCGCGTCACGCGCATGTTCACCGGCGCTTTGCAGCAAGCGGACAAGGTGGCGCTGTCATCGCTGTACGGTGCGCTGGAGGGATTGGCTGAATTGGGAACGGAGGTGGCCAGGATATTCATATTGCCCAGAGTCAAGAGTATAGGTGGGTTGGTTTTGGTTTGGTGGTTCGCTCATAGATGACTCGACATCATTAAAGAAACCGCCCTGGTCTTGGCGTTCGCTCATAGATGACCTCATTTGTCGAGGAAGTGACCATGCAGTGTTGCCAACGTGACAGAAAATGCTACATTACATAACAATGTCGACAAAATAAGTAAACAGATCGTCTTAACTCTATTATTTGCGGATCTCAACCTAGGGGAATCGCACACTGTGAAACCCGATCTTTAAGATAGCTGCTACTTACTATTGCATACATATGATTTGATTATCACAGGATGGTTGTTGTTATTTACCATTTGATAATAAAAAAAATTGAACACAGACTGCCATCAATGTAATTGTATCTTCAGGCTTTGCAAATGTTTTATATCGAAGATCAACAAGAGGTAAAGTCTAATCGCACGCACATGGTATACTGATAATGGCAAGTAAAAGTGTGGAAGTATTATCCTTTGAAGAGAAAATCTTTAAAGCCGTGGGACCAGACTTGAAAACGTATATCTGTGACCTTTTACAGAAACCAACGTCCGCGCATAGAGGAAAATTGCATGTAATAAACGTGATCTCATTGGGACCCGCCAAAAGTGATATTGGTATTGGTTAAAATAAACCTAAATTAAACACTAATAAAATAGGGAAACATTCAGGTGACAATACAATTAGGGTCATAATTAATGATGACAAAATCATTCAAATATCTGGGTACATATGTAAATATGTAGTAAACTACTGTTTCAAGAGCATTATAAATACATTATTTAGAAAATATCAAAAAATACAAATTACTACTATAGAGTTTCCTATAATCTCAGTATTGTTTATATTGTTCAACTGTTTTATTCACAGCAAATTAAACATATTTTTATAATCACAATTTCTACAAAAAAAGCTATGAGAATCATTTTAAATATGTAAAGACAAATATGCTAAGATTGAGACTATGTTAGAAGAACTGTACTGGTTGAATGTAAAAAAAGATGTGATTTAGTTGTCGTTTTCATATTCAAATTAAAAATTATTCATTACCACCACATTTAAATAGTCATTATCATAATTATGAAACTAGGTGCAGTATATATTTTCATCTGCAAAATAGTAGCACTGGCAAATCTGGAATTCAAAAGGAAGTATATGAATTTAGTAAATTAAATAATGATATTAAACAGTGTTTATTATTTATAATTTAAAAATGTTTAAGGTGAAATTAAAAAATCAGTTTATGAATACCCAAAATATATAGCAATGTAAATTTAATAGACTAGAATGTAAAATTGCAGACAATTACTCCGTTCATTCATTTTCCAAAATACATGCACATCATTAGAAAATATTTTTTGATCGCATTTACTAAATATGAATATCAGAATGTATATTTCGTAGTCTGCAAATAGATGATAAATAGCCCCACCATGGAAAAATAGAAATTAATTTGATCAAAATATGCCTAATATTTCACTACAAGTAATGGACAATTAATTGTTGAAATGAAAAGTATTATTTATCTGGCAACTCCGCATGATCTTCAGCCAAATAACAACACGTGGTTAAACGCCATAAGGTTTTTTTTGGACGCTATGTTTTTGGTTTGGCCAGTCTATCTCCCTCTAACTTATATGCCTTGCCAGTCTTCCAGTGATATAACTAATCTTAGGTTAAATAATGCTTTTATTAATTGTAGTCGGTCTATGATAAAGATCGATTTAGAAACTCTGACGACGCCGTAACGCGGTTGCTGGCAGTTCAAATCAGTTGATAATCTTGCTAACGTCACCGCACGTGACGCATAACCTAACCCAAAATTCACACTTTTCGACATATACCCTATTTCACTCTTTTCGACATATACCCTATTTCACTCTTTTCGACATATACCCTATTTCACGAGTATCCATCACGCCTTGACGTCTACTGAGGTGAACAGCTGATCAGCAAGTGACATTTTTGTGTTAGTCTGCGAGGATGGCAATAATGAATCCGGTATAAATATGGTAAACCTTGTGTTTAGCGTTTTGTTTTTTGCATGCAAATGAACTTTACTATATAAAAGAGCTGTTAGCAAGTACAAAATGAATCTGTAGCGTACAAAAAACCAAAACAAAATACGGCTCTGAATGCCTGACGTTGACGGATTGGTCAGAATTATGTGTCCTGTGCCGATATGGGGAATTTTGATATATTACTGTGGCAGCAAACACATGATTTGCAGGCTACCTTTCATTGGTTGAATTGGGAACGACAACCAGGAAGTTGCAATTTCGTCAAGCCTACCGGCACCGTTGCGGGAGAACGTTGTGGAATTCCTGTAATGCAATGATGGTACCGCGCTGGTGCGGAACGTCATGGTTTATAAATCGACTTTAAAAAACAAATATACTCATTTATTTTTCCTGTGTTTAGGCGCTCGTATCGAGTCAGTGGAAATCAACATGGTACCAAATACTGACAAAATCGCTTCAGGGCACATTAAACAATTACTGGTCAAGGTTTTAGCCCCTATCTTGCGGTCAACACGGCAACCTCCAGACAACGTGGACGAGTATCGACAGGTTAGTTAATATTCAAGAAAAAATTATGCAGTGTTTTAGCACTTCTACCGTCACGTTGAAGTATGAAATATTTATGTAAACATAGGTCCAGCAGGGGGATTACGTATCTTGAAAAGTGACATTATGTCGGTTTTTTTCTGACATTATGTAATTGTTTCTACAAGATGTCAACTAGCTGTTGTTCACTTTATGTGCACGTGTTCTCTAGCTGCATGTGTTGCCTAAACGTCATGACGCTTCAGCTAAGAATGTTTGGCTCTGATGTGATGTAATATCTGCTTCATAAGGTCCAATTTTGTAAAACTAGAACTACAGTGGTTGAATGTGAAAAAAATCATATATTATTTAGTTCTCGTTTTCATATTCAAATTAAAAAATCATTTATTACCACCACTTTTAGAAAACCATAAAATTGAATAGTAATTATCATAACTACGAAACTAGAGGCAGTATAGATTTTCATCTGCAAAATTGTAATAGTAGCATAACTAGTAAGTCTATATTTCAAAAGAAAGTATTTGAATTTAATAAATTGAATAATGATATTAAACAGTGTTCGAAAAAAAAGAACAGTGCCATACAATTTATTTAGAAAGTTTAAACCTGGAAATAGGGAATTCCTAGGCTCACGTTTATTTGGACATATTTTTATTGCACTGAATTTACCAGTAAAACTTATTGATTACATTCTGTAACACCCTGTATGAACATGTATCTCGTATTGCAGGATTACGGCTATCTAGGCGGAACCCTACACGCGGCCGTGCTAAAGGCGCGTTCACAACCCGTGTCAGCCGCTTCATCATCGAGCAACGTTATCACATCGTCCTCATCGGCAACAACGTCAGCGTCATCGTCTTCAGCTGTTTCGGCAGTTGCTGCCGCAGCTAACTCGATATCGCAGGGGTCTGCTGCAAATAGGATGGTTGTCACATCGGGGGCAGCCACGATAGAAAGACAAGTGAGGATACAAACTATATTGATTTATAGTGGCAGCTTTTATTATCAATAGATTTGGGTGGTACCATTTGCTGTACAAATTTTGAAGTGAAACACAGAAGTCCTGATGCGTTGCACTTTATTCCAAAAACAGCATTTTCTCCGGTGTTTTACTGTAGAACTTTTTATAAAAAATTAGACGATCATATGATGGAGGAAAGAAAAGTCACATGAGAGAAGATGCAAAAATATTATTGGAAAATATGTCAATAAATTATTAAACAACGATGTAACAAGGGTCACTGCAATGTTTTTATTTTATCTAACAATGATTTAATTAATAAATACGAATCAGCATCAGAGACGTAACTCCTGTTTATGACAAGAAGAGAGGATCAGAGTTTGACACTTTTTTCCCTGAATAGAGCACGGGTTTCTGAACCGGATTATACCAAAGTTATTAATAACAATCTTTCAGCAACTTTTCAGAAGCTGGCGTTAAGGCTCTTAATATAAATCTTCCTAGTACGGATGACTGAGTATGAAGATATGTGAAAGCTTTTAGCATTGATTAACGTATTCTGATGGCAACAAACCAGATCTATGAGACAGTAGTAGAACATAAAAATGAAATTAGACATCTGCCTTGAAAAGAGATATAGCGTTGGGGCACTAGATAACGTATTCCACCTGAAGATACCCAATTAAAAGGGACATAAGTGAGGCCAAAAAAAGATTGTTGATCCCAGCGCCATCTGTGAGACAGTAGTAGAACCAAAAACGCTGATTCTTTTCAGAATGGATATTTAAATTTATTTTTGTGTTCTGCTACTGTCTCGCACATGGCGCTAAGATTTATCGAATTCTGGAAACCGGCAGGGTAATTACGTAAAAAAAACTATATAGTGTTGTGACTTATAGTATTATGTCTAACAGGTGCATAGTATCACTGAGATCAGCAGCTTCTTAATAATTGAAGGTCTTTCACTGACACCAAATGTGCAACAGTTTACAACCATCTACCGAATACAGCTTCCAATCTACAATTCTCATCCCCCCTAATGTCTCAAAATGAGCGGGAATCTCTGAAACGTTGTAACACTATGTTCCAGCGATTTTATTTCCGCGGCCTCTGAATCAATTTTCAAAATCTACGACTACCTCAACGATGGAATTATAAATCTCGCGATAATATTCGAACTTTGGTTCTTAAGTTTTATGTTGCTTGAAGATATCTGCATCACATATGTCCGTGTTTCTCATATATGTCGGTTTGACGGTCCGTGTCTGTTGTAAATCAATGCATCATAAGTGCTGAGTCACTCTACCTGACGAAATATTCAGGGAACCATCATAGAGGGAGTAACACAAATTAATGGTTAGACGAAATGGGTGGTACATATAAGGATGATAAAATTCAGGTAAATATATGTGTACATATAAAAACCGTTAAATCATCATTTACTAAAGCATCGCAGGACGCTGAAGTGGTACGTACTCCTAATCTCCGAATATTGCTAAAATATACAAATATCTCTCTTATAGCGTTGTGTCAGTGACGATACCACCGCAGACCAGTTGGATTTTGTTATCTATCGCACAGTCGGCAGTGGCCTCCACGACGATGCAGCATCGCATCGAGCACGCAACGCCGATTGCCAAATTATTTCGAATTATGAGCACATAATACATCGGACTTTTATCATTTAATTTTCCCGTTATTACCGGAGTCAGAAGGTTTTAATGATAGAACGTCTTTGACTAACACTAAAGACGTTACATTCACAACCCCCTATCCCCAACAACCCTCAAGTTTCAACCCTTGCAAAAAAAATTCCGAAAATCATCAGAAGTCTCTGAAACGTCAAAAGCGATTTTTATTTATTTTTTTCGTTTTTTTGCCCCTATCTCCGCCACTATTAGACCGATTTTCAAAAACTACACAGCTTTTTCATCCTTGGCATTTTAGTAACCTTGTGTGAAAATTTCATCAAAATCCGAGCGGTACATCTCAAGTTTTAGGAGGTTGTAATAATTATAAATCATAATATTTCAATTTCGAAATTTTTGGCGATTACCTTCCTCGCAAGTATTGCCTTGGGAATTAAAAACCTATATAATGGTAAAAAAATAGATATACTATATCACTATTTAAGTTACTTAATACGAATGCTGAATACATTATCTATCTTCTGATAATCAATGCTTTTAGGCACTGCAATCTAACATCTATCGCATGTGCCATATAACATCATATTCAATGTTAGTAATGTCTTTAATGATGACAGATAACAGAAGTGATGCCATCATAACTGTAAGACTGTTTCCACAGGAAAATTAGCCTGTTTTTTTTATTTTCATCAAATATACATATTCTGCATAGAATATTTTAAAATGAAAGCAAAAACTAAAATATCGCATCTTCGCTATTCTAGCGAAAATGGCCGTTAGTCGTTCTATATCTAAAATGTACTATGCTTTAGAACTCGGGAGGCAACCGTATGATCGTGATGACACCAGGAAGCAGAGTGCAACAGTCTCAGTCTGGCAACCAAAAATTCGTTTATGTGACGCAAAAACAACAAACGCCTGTTCAAAGGGAGCAACAGGGCGGCTCAACGGGAGGAGGAGCGAGTACCGGTGGTGGGGGGAATACTCAAGGTGGAACGGTAAGTTAAGGTTAATCTCAAACTTAATCTTATTCCTAATTTACGTAGTCATGCCATAAGTTCTGTCCCTCGTTTTCAAACAAGTGTAGACCTGTTAATACTTGTCCGATTGTTTACATTGTGGTGTCAGTTGATTAAGCGCTTTTCGGGTAATTACATATACCTGATATACCTCAGTTTGTATTGATCTCTCGAAGCATAACGATGGAGTGGGGCAAGGCAGAGAACCGTATTGCAGTGATAGCTTTACATAAGTGTAATCACAGTGCTAGTCAGATTTTTGAACTCTTACGCGGCCTTCAAATATCGCGTAAATTTGTGTCTAGGACCATTCAGCGGTACAATGAGACGTCCTCTGTTGATGACAGGCCAAGAAGCGGAAGACCTCGTCAAGTAAGGACTCCAGCAGCCATCAAAGCCGTAAAAGCCAGGATTCAAAGGAATCCACTCCGGAAGCAGAAGATCCTATCCAGGGAAATGAAGATTCCTGTCCGGACGATGTCGCGCATCATTAAACAAGACCTAGGGCTAGGGGCTTACCGGAGACGTACGGGCCAGCGACTTACGGCCACCTTGCGACACATCAGGGCGACAAGATCCAAGAAGCTCTTGGAGAGGTACGCAGCTGGGGGATTCCGAAAGATTTTGTTCACGGATGAGAAAATCTTCACCATAGAAGAAAAATTCAACCGACAAAATGACAAAGTGTATGCAAGGAGTTCACAGGAAGCTTCGGAGATCATTCCGAGAGTTGAGAGAGGCCACCACCCTGCGTCAGTCATGGTTTGGTGGGGGGTGTCCTACGAAGGGGTCACTCAGCTCCATTTCTGTAAACAGGGCGTGAAAACAAAAGCGGCAAACTATCAGAGCGACATACTGGATCCTATCGTCAAGCCTTTAAGTGGTACATTGTTTGCCAACCAACACTGGGTCTACCAGCAGGATTCCGCCCCCGCTCACAAGGCTAAGAGTACGCAGCGCTGGCTGGAAAGCAATGTGCCAGAGTTCATTGCTGCGGAAGATTGGCCCTCAGGGAGTCCGGACCTCAATCCTTTAGACTACAAGTTGTGGGACCTGCTAGAGCAGTTGGCCTGCTCCAAAGCCCACCGTAATATCGAGTCCCTGAAAGCGGATTTGATCCGATCAGCGGCAGCTATTTCTTTGGAAGCTGTGCGTGCAGTGATAGATGAGTGGCCCGCGAGATTGAAGCAGTGTGTGAAGGCCAAGGGGGGACATTTTGAATAAAACTGTTTGATTATGAATTCTAAAAATGTTGTCGAATAAATAATATCTTTCATATAAATATATCTTATCTTGTTTCATTTTTATCATGAGATTATCATGGGACAGAACTTATGGCACGACTATGTATTGCTTTGCTTCATCACATCAATCGTGATAACAAATAATAGCTGATCATTTAGGCCGGCACGGGTATCACGTATCTTGAAAAGTGACATTATGCCGATTTTTTTTGACATTATGTAGGTTTTTCTACAAGATATTAACTTAGCACTTAGTTGTACGTGTTCGAAGCTAGAAATTAGTTGCACAACCACTTTTTCTTACACATTCTGGAAATTACATATACAAATTTACTGAATTTCAAAAATGAGAGAGAAGAAATAATTATATTCACTGTACACTGTCGAATTATAAGCCATATACATGCTAGTAATTACACACAACGCGGGCGCGGTAATGATTTCTCGTAATTCTCCTCAGTTTTTCGTAATTTATAACTTTGAACATAACCTCTATCTTCAGAAAGCACAAGCTAAAAATAACCTGTCGGGCACAGCCAATAGATATACTTCATTTTATACACATGCAAACCAATATACATAATCATCCAGATGCCAACTTTCTTCTCAGAGATAAAAACTACAGACAAGGACCATTTGGCCTCGCAAAACACATGTAACCAATAATGAGTGTAGTTTAGTTGAGTGATTCCTCCTTAGATGGACGTTCACAACGATCCTAGCGAGCAAACGTGGAATGACTGTTTGCGCCTTATGAACTACCTAGTTTGCAAGATGCCGTCTTATAGGTATATTTTGACGTTTTTGAAGATCAAATTAGACCATTCAGAAACCCAAGGATCTAAATGCGATCCACGAGTCAAAATTGACCGTTTTTGAAAGAAGAGATCTAATGGGTCTGGTCGATTTCTTCTAAAATATCAAGTTAAGAAATTCGTTACAAAGTCCTCAGTCTAGCTACAAAAGCCTATTTCTTCATTTGATCCCAGGTTCAAAATTTGCTCCTAGAGAGCAAATTTGACCAATCAGAACGAAGTGTACCATAACCCAACCTAAATATTTCGCCTTCAAGGTCAAATCTAGACATCAAAAACAGTTTACTCTAGCAAAAATTTTCAACATCACGGTTGTGAGGTTTATGAGCATCACCCAAATGACTGGAAATGGAAAAAGCAGGAAATTTTCCGTCCGAATGTGACTTTGACGTCAAAGTCCACTTCGTGTCAAGCCCAAATGTTTAGCTACAAACACCTACTTTTTCATTTAATCCCAGGTTCAAACTTTGCTCCTAGAGATCAAATTTGACAAATCAGAACAAAGTGTTATACACGGTGAACCATTTTAATCTCCCAATCTAAATATTTCGAAAACTGGGCTTTCTAATAAAAGTTTCTAACTGAAGTTGATGGTGACCTTTCCAATGACCTTGACAGCGATCTTCAAGGTCAAGTGCATATTTTAAAATGGAACCCTTTTTTTCACATCAAGATTGAAAGAGGAGCAAATTTTACGTCCTAACATCACCTTGGCCATGGCTTAGACTATTGCTTTCAAGGCCATTTCAAGGTCAAATCAAAACAACGAAAAAATGTGACCTTAAACGTCAAAGTTAAGCCAAACTTTCCCAACCAAACTGATAATTTTTATACTGGAAATAGAAAAGGAGGGAAACTTTACGTCCGAATGTGAACTTGACTTTCAAAGTGCAGGTCGTGTGAATCTCAAATGGTATTCGAGGTCAAGGTCACATTCATGCGTGAGATTTCCTGCTTTTTCCATTGCTAGTATAAAATGGGTCTTTGAGGATCAGTATGAATACATTGTTTCCAAAATTGTAAAAAAAATAATTGATTGTTATAATCGTAGTACATACTCCAAAAAAATGTTTGTAATAAAATTATTATTATTCCAGATTTACTATATTGTTCGATTATCTTGTTTCCTACCAAAGAAGCTGTATTCTCAAAATTACAAGTCCTACACAATAAAACCATGAGAATAATATTGAATTAAAATGGGTACACCAAAATAAAATCTATGTAACAAGAATTGCAGTGGTTGAATATAAAAAAATCATATATTTGGTTCTTATTCTTATCTTTAAAATAACCGAAACCGAAATATTTTGAACATTACATATGACTGAATAATCATTATCACAATTATTATACAAGGGGAAATATATATTTCCAGTTACACAATTGTAACAGTAATATAGCTAGTATCTCAATATTTCAGAAGGGATTACTGGAATTTGATACACTAAATATAAAGTCTACTTATAATTTAAAGATGTGTGAAAGAAAATTAAAGAGACGTTTCATGGACAATGAAAATTCTTAGAGGTGTAAGATTTGTTTTTCTAATGATTTTTATGCTATGTAATTATTGTATAGGGTAACCGATATGTAACTGACTGGTTTGTATCTTGAATATTTGTGAAATGACATACCTACGCCATTTTTTTCATCTTAATCTTTTATTGAAACCTAGAAATTATGTATGAAAAATATCAGACAAATATCCGCCTCTAGAACCCGCGCAAACCTGAGCCCTCTTGATTACATTTACTATCACTTTTCTGTATGTTTCGGGAGGAATATTTTCAATCGCTTCCCTAATATTGTTCTTCAGCTGCTCTACAGTATTTGGTTTGTCAGGAGCCGTTATATCCGGTGACCTTGCTGGCCAGTTGACATCACCAAATCGAGAAATTAAACGTCCCGGAAATATTGTTCGCAAAAGATTCATTGTTTTCCTAGCTGTTTGACAAGTTGCTCCGTCCTGCTGGAACCACATGTTTTGCAGGTTAAATTGTTGGATTTGAGGGGCTAGAAAGTATTACACCATATCATGGTAGCACTCGCCAGTGACAGTGAGAGAATTACCTGCAGCGTCTTCAGAGAAGTAAGGTCCAATGATACCTCCACACCAATTGTGACCGGACGAGGATGTTGTGGTCGTTGATGGATGACACGAGGGTTCTCTAATGCCTAGATACAATTCTGCTTATTAACAAATCTGTTCAGATCGAAGTGGGATTCATCGCTCATTATCATTTGTCGGTAAAAACCGTAATTTTTGCTATTAAGGTGCAATATTGCATGACTGTATTGTCGGCGACTTTCATAGTCACTAGGCTGTAGTTCTTGGATTAACTGAATTTTGTATGGCGGCAAATGTAAGTCATTTTTTAAAATAGTGCATAATGACGTTCGACGAATACCCAGTTCTTGAGAACGATGTCTGGTAGACGTCTCAGGGCGCCCACTACACTTTCACGAATTCTCTCGATATTTTCCGGAGTACGAACACGGCCTGACCTTGGCAAGTCTTTAACTTTACTGTCTGTTCAAATTTCCGCACCAACTGACGAATGTTGTTGACACTGGGCACATTATTTTGACCGCAATCTTGTCGTAGCTTCCGAATCGTTGTAACAATCGACTCATTATTTAAGTAAAACATTTTAACAATACGCGTTGTGGGATCGTGTAGCGCTCCATGATGAATTGGACGCGTGATTTTAACAAATACTACGGAGCCACCTACTGAAATGCGTGTATCAAAAATGGCGCGCAATTTAAATCAGTTATATATTGGCCACCCTGAAGTTTTTTAAAAGAATATAGCAATCATGCCAAACAAATTTTAAATAAACAAACAAAAATCAGCAATTTAAATGAAAACGCAGCGGCATAGAGTACGAATCTGATACTAGTTTCTCCTTGTTCAATCACTCCTTGCACCTTTGAGAAACAAATACATATTTATTTTCAAGCCTAATTGCTATATCTATGTAGGTGGTGAAATTCGTATCAAACCAGCAACAACCTAAATTGCAGACACAACAGAAATTGGTGATGGTGTCTACAGCAGGTGGTCAGAGCCAACCACCTGCAATGCTGATATCAAAGCAGAGCTACATACAGCAAGGACAGCAAACGCAACAACAGCAACCTCCTATCGTGGACGATTTGTCGCATCTGACGTAGAGCATATTTTATTTGTACACAGTAATTTTAAGTTAATAAATGGTTTCTATATCGTATTTTAACATACGCGGTCTTTTTATTTCAATCTCAATACCTAATCCAGGCGCCTCTCCAACTCGGGTGCCAGCAGTGCAGCGCCGAGCACCGCTCGCATCACAGTGCTGCGGGGTGACTCCGTGAAGGTGGGGGAGGGATTAGGCAGCGGCATACGCATCGCGAGGAAGGTGTTGTGCTAACCGTAGCACCCTGCGAACAGCAATGACCCGGGAGCTGGTGGCATTGAGTATACCTTCATCGCGGATTCGACTAAATTTAGTAAGAATATGTAGTTTTTAAGTAAATGAACAAGAAGAGCTCAGTAAGACGGGGCGCTTCCTGCCAGAAGTACCTGTCAAACCGACTTAAAGATACAGCGTTTCAAGATAATTTTACCGAATCCAATGAAGCCTACAAGGTTTGATGGAAATTTTAGGCTCATTTGGAAAAACATGGTATGACAAACTGATTTCCGCCAGAAGTTGCTGTCGTACCGACTGAAAGCTATAGCAGGCAATGCAAATAGATAAAAATAATACATCCTGTATGTATGCTTCATGCTTGCATTTAAAAGCTCATTTGAGTCTGTCAGTTTGACACCAGGCTTCTAGATGTTTAAAAGTATATGCAAAATGAATATGAAACGTCATGACCGTTGATATACGTATAGGTTATGGTAAAATCCTAATGTCACATTGTATCTTCAAGTCGATATGACAGATATGTACTTCCCTTTTTGTTCATTTACTTAAAAACTACATATTATTACTAAGTTTAGTAGAATCCGCGATAAGGTTTAATTTCGCCGGCTCCCAGCCCCAACGGAAAATGAGTGGAGCGACATTCGTATTGACATTTGAATTGGTCTGATCGAGTCAACGCGCGGGTGATAAAATAATGTTCATAATTTCGACATAAACACATTTATTCTTAAGATGATCTTTGACAGCGTTTCGATTCAACAAGTTTTATAATATTTGGTACAGTGGCTTGAGCAGTGGAAATTCTGAGTATCGCCTCTAAGGACACATCAGACAAACACCTGTTTTTAGTTTTGTTCAAATTCATTAAAGAAAACGTCTGCTCGCAGAAGTACGTTGTACCGAACATGGAGCAAGTTTCCAAGGCCAGTGCAAGAATTTTGGGAAAATCTTGCTACTTAACATCTTGATAAAACGAAATTAAATTACTATTGTAGTGGTAGTATCTATCCTTAAGGATCGTATCGCATTGAAGTTTAATCACCTCCATTTGGAACTGCGGCGGTTCTGTTTCGAAAAGCACTGAAGATGGCGTCGTAAATATCTCATTTGCATAAACACCTCAACGTCGTCAATGATTTCAAAAAAAAATCTTTAGCACTTTTGCGCAGCTTAACCAACGCGTAACACATTAAAAGGGTATGTCACCGTAAGTTGCTTCCAGGTCTTTTAAAAATACTTCAAACTGGCGTGGTTGAGACCTTGCTTTCTGAAGAAATTGACACGTTTTTACTACATCCATAATAGATTTGAAATTACGGAAGGTTTTTGCACATAGTTGTTCCTGATGTAATATGCAGTGTACCGATGATATCGGAGGTAGCCCAGCGTCGCGTACTTTTATTTTCATTCGACCAGTAAAACCTTGTGCTTCCGATAACATTGCTGGCGCTCCATCAGTAACAACACCACGCAAACTTTTGAGTAGTATACCCATGTCATTCATTGTGTATTCTACAGCATCAAAAATATCTTCTCCGGCCATTGTATCTTTGAGCGGGATAACGTCTAGTAGTTCGTCGGTGATAGTAAAGACTATTTCGACTCCTCTAACGAAAACAGCTAATTATGCTGTGTCAGAAATGTCTTTACTTCATCGAGAGCTGTAGAATACTGCACAAAATGGGCGCATTTTCCCGCAGTTGTTCTTTTAAATCTGCACCAAGTTCAAGTATCCGACGATAAATTGTTTGCTCGGAGATACTAATTGTCTCAAAGTTGCTTACAAGCGATGAGCACAATATTTCTGCACACTCCACTAAGCATTCTTTGAGAAGTGCGCCGTCAGTAAACGGTCTCTCACTTTTTGCAATTTTCAAAGCAACAATATAACTTGCATTACGACACCATTAATAATAATCAACTACGACCAAATTAATAATTACCTCTTCAGAACTTAGAAGGGCTGGCCTCAATACCGTGTGCCAAATTAAACATTTTGCTTTTCCATCAGTATTTACAAAAAATAGGCTTCTTCCATGCAGGATTGAATGAGATCGTTTAAAAAAAGATGCACGTTAAGACGCTAAAAAACCTGTCCACTTTGTCTTGTCCTATTAAGAAATGGCCTGCGCCCGAGAGACAGTCAGCTAATATGTTTATCTCTGTCGCGACGGCTGTGCGGTCGAGGTGGAGGGGGAACGGCACCGGTGACGCTGGGTTCAGCACCGGAGCGCACCAGCACAAAGTGCTCGAGTTTGAGAGACCTGACCTATACCAGTTTGCCCAGTCTGTTACCATCACATCTGACCACAATACGGAGAGACGTAAAAATTTGTAGACTGAATCCCGATGAAGATGAAGATTATATATAGCTATGGGATTATCTGAGAGAATATATACATTTTTCAAAGTGTGGTTAGATCAAAATATCTTGAAACATGCGCTTCCTAGAGAACAATGTAAAACTAAGTTGTAAGGTTTAAAAAGATTCATGTAATGGTGAAGGTAACATTGACTATCAAGGTCATTTCAAGGTCAAGACATTTTCTTAAATAAAACACCTATTTTTGACACCAGAAATGTAAATAGCAGAAAATTTTATGTTAAAAAATATCTCGAAAAATACGTTTCATGAAGAAACATGTTGTCGAATGAAATTGTATGGTTTAAAAAATTTCATCTAATGGTGACTATGACCTTCAAGCTCAAGACAGTTTTTTTAACTATTTTTGACTCTGGGAGTAAAAAGAGCGAGAAACTTCATGTTCAAGAATTTCCGTGACCCTGACTATGACAAGGTCACTTGAACATCAAATTAATTTTTAATGGAAAACATATTATTTTTAATTCCTGAAATGCAAATTGCCGACAATTTTAAGTTCAATTATAACCTTGCCAATGACCCTGACCATGCCCTTCAAATTAAGGTCATTTTAAGATCAGAAATTTTCCAGCAAATTTACGGATTTTCGAGAATATAAAACAGTGAATCACTGAAATTAATTTATTGTTGCATTGAAATTTTGGACAAAAAATCTTTATAGCCCTTTTGCATTTCTTTCTCCGAAACAAGTCTCCTTCACACTAATACTGTGCAAAGTTATAGTAACAATATAAAAAACAAATCAGTATTTCAAAAAGGATTGTACAAATGTAATTAAGTAATGATATCAAAATGTGTGCCAGTTTGAAAATTGGAAAAATATTCCATTGATAACCAGACTTCAAAGTAGTGAAATATTGTATAAAAATATGTAGACTAGAAAACATAACATTTTGTGTGTTATGCTGTGTAATATTGATACTGTAGCATTCATTCTGAATAAATCTACAACATACACTACCTCAATGCAGGTTTTAGTCTAGTCTGGAATATACCCAAAGTTGTGAATTTTTCTGAAACCAATAATAATAATAATAATAATAATAATGTTTATAATAGAAAATGCTCCTTTTGCCACGCGTCAGAGGTATCGTTTTTTTATAGCAGGGAAACAAGAATTGATTGTTTTAACATCTTTGTCAGGTAAGTCATGATTTGCATTCTTTTTAAGACAAAATAGGCTAGTAGATAGGTAAGGTACAACTGGATAGTTGAGTAGAAAGTATATATTCAAAAGTATATATGTGAGAAGTCCAAGCTCAGTTGAGAATCAATAAAACTCAACATTTTTGAGATCTTCATTTGTTTTTTTTTCACTACAAATAGGTGTGTCATAAAATGAAACAGAGCAACATTGGAAAACATATACTATTTTTTCAGAACATCAAAGACATAGTTGTAAATAAATCAAGGGGGCATATTTTCACAAATTCTGAATGAATTAACAAATTTCATTCATATTAAAAACTGAATTGCTGCTTGATATAAATTCATAAATACTTATTAATCACTTAAAATACTAGTTAAAAACTATACTGTGTAAAATGGATCTTTGACATTTCTCCTCAAAATTATGCAAAACTTCTTCTATGTCATTGTCAAGATCTTCAGCAGCTGCCATCTGAAAAATAAGAATTCATTGATATTTCATATACAGAATTTTATTGAATGGGGCCTGCAGCCCTAACTTTCAATGTGACACACTCAAGACAAATAATGTAGTTCGGGATCTCAAATACTAAAAATCTTCATTTATTATTGTACCTGAAATGATTTTTTGGTCTATGATCTTGCAGAGGAAAATTTAAGAGTAATAAAATTTCAACTGTAGCTGCAATATATATTCACGAGACTCTAATTTTTACATTTAAAAATACTGACAATTTCATTGGTAACCCTGCAAAGTGACTATAACACAAGAAACAGAAATAAAAATCTTCTGTATCCAGTCCATCATCTCATGGTTACTGAAAACAATGTCTATTACAGCTGCACTAAAATATATAATAAGTTACCACAAGAAATGAAAAGGTCAGATATAAAGGAATATAAAAAGATTATGCATCAATTGTTAATGCACTTAGAACAATATGACCTTCAAGAATATTTTGAAATGTAAAATCTGTATTGTTATATGTTTGCCTCTTTGTTTTTTCTGTCTTAATGATGCTGTGAAGTATATTTCACCTAACAGTGTGTAATACACAGCAATCATGCACTGTTATTTTGAAATAAAGATTTATTATTATCTTACCATGGTACACATATCACTGATCAAAAATGCACCTATTGTAGCCTCTTCTAAATTATCCTGAATATCAATATTGATCACATGCACTATTGAATTGTCAGTTGGTTGTTTATTCTCCATAAATTCTAAAACTTGATCATAAACGCGTTCTTCACATGTAATGAGTATATCAAATTTCTCATTGCATTCCTGGAACTTTTCTGGATGTGACTTTATCCTCCTGTTGCGGTCCAATGTATGGAGAAGACCATTCTGTGTATATCTGAAAAGCAGCTCAGGAGAAATATCTTTGATAAAGATTATAAGTATGATTACGCCATAGAGTTATAAGTTGCAAAAAATGTAACAATTCAAAATTCGAATGTAATGGAATAACTAATATTAATGAAAAACTTTTTAAAATATAAAGGATACAGTGCTTTGTCTTTCTGTAATAGATCTAAATATATCTCCTCATATGATGTTCCAAAGTCGTATATATTAGGTTTATCTGCCGCTGAACCAGGGATTTTAACTTTATCCCCTGTTCCGTAGGATTTTACATCAAATCCTTTTTTTGATAGAAAGCGTGAGCTTCCATACTCCTGTTCATATTACTAGAACATATCACAGCTATTCGCAAATCGCTTACGTAGGTCATTGTAAACGTAGTGTATTATATTTGCTTAATTATAAAGTATTCCTACTTAAAGGATGACCCGTTATGAAGTCATTCAAGCTATTAAAAGTTGAAATTTAAAAAACCGCAGTCCTTAGGATGAGTTTTCCTCGGAGATTTTCTACTTCCTGATGCCAAGCAAAGCATCCAAACTCAAAGAAAAATCCTAATCCTAAACATGACACTGACAGCTGACAGTTGAAATGACAATTCGCGAAAAAATGTCCAATGACGGATGAATTACATTTTATCACAAGACACTAAATCAAATTCAAGCGGATAACCAAATGGAAATGGTATTTACCATTTTGGGTTGGTATTTACCAATCCGTTCAAGCGAGTGTAGTTATCAGTTTGGTTATAAGATCCGTGACGTCACGAATCAGGTGTTATATGTCATAGTTATCACCGCAAAATTGTGGTATTTACCCAACTCAAGAGTAGTTTTATATTTCTGGTTATTATTTGAAATGTGACAAGTTAGAATTTTGCCGGGTATTGGATATTGTTATTGTACTTCAGCTTCATTTTTGAGAAAAATGATACAGGATGACTTCAGTTTTACCATAAAGTGGAGCACCTTATTAGTTATACTCATTACGGTTGTTGAGGACACTTTAAATGCAGTTCCTATGCTTAACAAAGTATCCTGTGTAGCCATATACCACAAGAATATTAAAATATGGCCATATAAACTCACTAGATGATATCCACCTGTATACGGTTTTGTTAATATCTTTTTTCATCATTTCTGCTAAATCAATAAATGTTTTGTTTGACATCCGGAAAAATTTAGAGAATTGAAAGTTATCATAGCTACAAAGCCATGGTTCCATCATTAAAAAAAAATCTGAAAAAAACATTTCTCCCATGAATATTATGAAAGGTTTCTTATTTAAACTTTCCATATACAGTTGTAGACGAAAAAGCACCGATTATTAAGTGATAATAAAAATAATCAGAGATTATATACGCGCTTTTCTAAAATAAACAACTTGCAACAAAACCGCGGTTCAAACCAACGCGTTCAAGCGATTCGTGTAACTGACGTCATCAACCCGTGTGTCATCTTGAACCATATTATAACCGCGGCACATAACACAGAAATGTTGGTTATTCGCTTGGATTTGATTAGTAATCACAGATTATTTCTATTATGACTTAATAATCGGTGCTTTTTCGTCTACAACTGTATATGGAAAGTTTAAATAAGAAACCTTTCATAATATTCATGGGAGACATGTTTTTTTCAGATTTTTTTTTTTTAATGATGGAACCATGGCTTTGTACCTATGATAACTTTCAATTCTTTAAATTTTTCCTCATGTCAAAGAAAACATTTATTGATTCAGCAGAAATGATGAAAAAAGAAATTAGCAAAACCGTATACAGGTGGATATCATCTAGTGAGTTTATATGGCCATATTTTAATATTCTTGTGGTATATGGCTACACAGGAAACTTTGTTAAGCATAGGAACTACATTTAAAGTGTCCCCAACAACCGTAATGAGTATAACTAATAAGGTGCTCCACTTTATGGTAAAACTGAAGTCAGCCTGTATCATTTTTCTCAAAAATGAAGCTGAACTACAATAACAATATCCAATACCCGGCAAAATTCTAACTTGTCACATTTCAAATAATAACCAGAAATATAAAACTACTCTTGAGTTGGGTAAATACCACAATTTTGCGGTGATAACTATGAAATATAACAGCTGATTCGTGACGTCACGGATCTTATAACCAAACTGATAACTACACTCGCTTGAACGGATTTGTAAATACCAACCCAAAATGGTAAATACCATTTCCATTTGGTTATCCGCTTGAATTTGATTACTGTGTCTATGTCATGTGTCACGTTTATATTTCAAAATGGTGGAAATTTTCAGAAGCTGGCAAAATTTCCCTCTATAATTTGTTGGGTTTACTGCTATGATACAGTTTTTCTGTTTTTCAAAGAAATCAGTCTCTTTGACGCGTGTATTACTTTTTGAAAATACTTAAGCCAGGAGAGGGCGAGGTTAAAGTGTAATATACTTGAATAAAAAGTCAGATGGTGAAGCCGCTGATGCTAACCAACATTGCATTTCAAAATGGATAACTGGATTCACGGCGTACTCGAGCAAATAAAAAACTTCTTCGTGCCTAGTTTGCCAGAAAGAAACCGCAAAAGGCGGTAAGTAAAAAACCAGCAGGCTATGCACAATATCAAGTAATGTCTTCTACTTTAGTTGCAGTGTTATTGATGACCCATTTGAAAGCATATTCCCAAGCTGCAAATACAGGAGACTTCAGCCCACGATGTCAAGGGATATAGAAAGTAAGTAACTCGTAGTAGGATAACACAATATTACAAATGATTTATTTTAGGTGATTTCTTCCTCACACCTACATCAATGCGTAGATCTACTATGAAGTCCCCTCCTTCAAGAATTATTGACACAATTCTACTGGACGATGATGAAGATAATATACCAGCAACTAGAAATAGCCAGAATAAGCTGAGAGGACGAAAATTCACATCTACCCCAGATGCTCAAAATGCACAAGGCTCAAATCGCAACAGTATAAGTGATGATGATGAAGTATCATTTGTAAAGGAGATAAAGTTGCCTAAAGGAAAGCAGACTGAAGCATCATCATTGGGATTGAATTATATAAGACCTTTTAGTAGCTTGAGAAGCCAAAATGGTACTTTAAGTTCAAGAAGTAGACTTTTAAAAGGATCAACATTGAGAAAGTCCTATACATAACTTAAATCCTTCTTCAGGCAGTTTGGACTATTCATTCCGCTTAGAGGATAAGATGCAGTATAAGAAGCTTTTAGAAAAAGCTACTAGTATCAATTCTCCTGAATCATTATATGCAACACCTCAAGGCAAGTTGTTTGCTTTTGATACAGTTAATAGAGGCTCTAAAATACTCAACATGTCACTGAAGAATAGTCAGAAAGATAGGATGAGTACTAAGGATACAATTCAAAAAGTGCTCGATAATTTTCCAACAGAAACTGTTGTTTTGAAAGACTCTGATTCTGATTCAGATGTGGTTCCAGTTGAACCTCCATCACCAAAACCTGATATTGAAGTAGAACCTGTGAATAGTCTTAAAAAGGTTATAAATACATCTAAACCTGCTACAGAAGACTGGGTGCAACAATTGTAAGTATTATTGTTAAAAATCATCAAAATATATCTGCTCTCAAAATGTTTTTAAGAGGGGGGTTTCAAATCCAAAAGTCCTCAAAATTGTACACAAAATTATGCATAGTATGGACTTATAAATCAAATTCAAGCGAATAACCAAATGAAAATAGTATTTACCATTTTGGATTTTTATTTACCGATTCATTCAAGCAAGTGAGGTTATCAGTTTAGTTATAAGATCTGTGACGTCATGAATCAGCTGTTATATGTCACCTTAAAATTGTGGTATTTACCCAACCTAGGAGTAGTATTGTATTTCTGGTTATTATTTGAAATGTGACAAGTTAGATTTTTGCCGGGTATTAGATATTTTTATTGTACTTCAGCTTCATTTTTGGGAAACTTGATATAGGCTGACTTCAGTTTTAGCGTAAAGTAGGGCACCTTATTAGTTATAATCATTACTGTTGTTTGTGACACTTTAAATCTAGTTTCTATGCTTAACAAAGTATCCTGTGTAGCCACATACCACAGGAATATTAAAATATGGCCATATAAACTCACTGGATGATGTTCACCTGCAAGCGGTTTGGTAATATCTTTTTTTCATCGCTTTTTCCTATCATTTCTGCTAAATCAATAAATGTTTTCTTTGACATGTGGAAAAGTTTAGAGGATTGAATGTTATCATAGCTACAAAGCCTTGATTCCATCATTAAACATTTTTTTATGAAAAAAAAATTTCTCCCATTAATATTATGAAAGTTTTCTTTTTTAAACTTTCCATACACCGTTGTAGACGAAAATGCACCGATTATTAGGTGATAATAAAAATAATCGGAAATTATATACGCGCTTTTCTAAAATAAACAACTTGCAACAAAAACGCGGTTAAGACCAACGCGTTCAAGCGATTCGATTAACTGACGTCATTAACCCATGTGTCATCATGAACCATATTATAACCGCGGTACATAACATAGAAATTTTGGTTATTCGCTGGGATTTGATTATAGTTTATTCATTGAATCAAAGCAGTTACATCACAATGTCAAATAATGACAGTGAGGCACATGGCTGCCACATTAATTAAAACTACTGGATTCTAGGATGTTTTACAAAATCTACTTTATGTCTTCAATGCCTTACTGCAACCAACATTACGGAGTTTATGTTTTTTGAATGATAGAGCTAGTATAAATCCTATTTACTACCAAATACCTCTCTTATGGGCTGTAAAGGCAATAATGTAGCTCCATGATCTCGTGGAGTCTCAAAATATTTTGTCAAAGAAATGACAAATTCTTTTGCTTGTTGACCCAGAGGTTTTGGCATTTTAGCAAAACTATTTTTGTAAAATAACAATGTCACAATACAGATAACTGTTACCAACATAAATGTACCTGGGAAAGTCAAACTATATGTACCAACTTAGGACCTATTTTGAATTAAGTTTGGCATTCAAGTTTACTAAACATGATGTTTCAATGAACAAACTATAGTAATTAGTAGTATTATTTATTAGTAATGAGTGTCACCTCTAAACTTTTACTTTGTTTTATCGACGATATTAAGCGGTGATCTGAAGAAGAAATACTAGAGTTTGTAAACTAGCTGAAATATTTTTTTAAAGTTCTGATTTTGTTTATCTTTTTGACAATGTCATGTCACTGTTAACTAATATTTTGGAAGTTTTTTTAATCCCCTTTTTTTTTGCTTCAATGATGTGGAATTACTTATGCCGGCTTTATTCAAATTTCATGTTTTGGTGTTTGGGGTAGGTTTCTAAAAGGATAATTTGTTTTTTTCATAGATATTTACTTTTTATCTTGACCATATTTTAATTATTTCAGGGTAGATCGTCACAAATCTATTATCAAAAAAAGGCAACAGGAAATTGAAAGCTTCAAAGCATATAGTGAGAAGCATAGTCAAATAAATAAGGAGATACGGTTACAAAATCTCACAGATAAAGTAAGTAAACAATATATTCTGAGGTAGTCGTTCCTTCAGGATTTTTTCTTCAATAAAACCAACAATTTTGGAAAAATTTCACGCTTGTTCACCAGTATGAGAGTTATGTTTTATAAATAATTTTCTCGAAATGCCCCTTATTGATATTGATGACCATTTGTGAAAATAGCGGCTCAGTTTCACAACTATGCTTCAGGTTAATTATTTTCTGGCGATTACTAGAATAGACTTTATACCTGAGGAGTCTTCACAAAAACTGTTAAGTAACGTTAGAATACATCATCTTGGAAGATCTGCTGATGGTATGGATCACAGAAATACAGATGTAACATTTGCCTAAGTGGCCCTATGTTGCTGAAAGAATGTATTGTTAATCAAGATGTAGCCATAAAAAAACATGCTTTTTTCATTATGAACATTTTACAACTCCAGCATTACATCAAAAAAGAAATAAATGTATGATGAACAATCCTGATAAATTATTGTGTAAAATGATCGATAAATAAATTACCGGGTCTTTACATGTCACATGCGGAATATGAAATGTCTCAAGTCAAGCCATTGAAAACTGGCGTGAAATTTAAATCCTGAGGCACCTATTAGACACATCTTGAGTGATAGCATCAATTGATTGTTGATTTGAACCTAGGTAAATAGGGCTCTTCAAATCAAAGAGCAAGTAATCCCAGTTGAAGAAGCTGAAGAGGAGCTACCAGAACTAACAGCTGCTCAATACAAAATTATTGATAATGCATTTAAGGGTAACCCAAGTGAAGTTCTAGTTAGGAAGTTTAATTTAAATATCACAAGAAGGTAGGTATCAGATTTTCTAATAGATTAATTAAAATAATGTTATCTAAAACAGTAGGTTTTCAAAAATAAGTATTTAATAGTTAAGAAGTATTTGAAATAAATTTCTTGAAATCATTGCATACATAGTCAGATAAAATCTCAGGCTAGCTGAAAAAAAAGCCTCATAAAAAGGCACTGTTCAAAAGCGGTCAGGACCTTTACAGATATACATAATAATGTTTTGGATATTGAAAATTCACGGAAATAATTGAAAAAACAAAGATTGAAATTAATTTCTTTTTTGTATCAGTTGTTTACGAGCTATGTTGAACACTCCTAGCATTAATCAACATATTCTACCTGAAGATCGCAAACCTAATACTATATTCGCGCGAGGAAACAAAAAAAAAGTCCGGGGGGTGGGGGCACATCTGGGCTGTAGGGCTGCTGCGGAAGCGTTGGGATGCCGGCCTTGGTCATGTAGCTGTTCACAAGAAAGGCGGTGTGAGCCGGGGCGTTGTCGTGGTGCAACTTCCAGTCGTCTGCGATATCTTGTCGGACCCGAGTGACCCTTCGTTTGAGTCTCCTGAGCACTTCCACGTAAAACTTGGCGTTGACGGTTTGTCCAGGAGGAAAAAATTCATGGTAGACTCATTCTTCCCTTTTTTGGGCGGAAGATTGCCTCTTTGTCTCGGGATCATACTCAAAGATCCGCGACTCGTCACCTGTGATTACGTTATTAAAAAATTGGGGGTCACTTTCACACATGTTCAAATTTTCTTGGCACACTTCCACTCGCCGCAATTTCTGGTCGTCAGTGAGCACTTTTGGGACCATCTTCGCGCACACCTTGCGCATGTTCAAATGCTGTGTCACAATGTCATGAACCACAGATTTTGGTAAATTTAACATCTGTGCAATTAAACGAATACTTAGTCGACGGTCTGAGTTCAAAACTTTGCCCACACGAGTCACATTATCGGTGTTTGTCGAAGTCCAAGGTCTTCCAGCACTGTCTTCATCAGCGACCTCATCCCGGCCCTCCAAAAAGGCCTGGTGCCACCAAACCAAACCACTTCTTGCTAAAGCAACACCTGGGTAAGCCTGCTTGATCATATCAAACGTCTCTGTCGCAGATTGACCGAGTTTCACACAGAATTTAATCGCGTACCTCTGCTCTAACGAACGCTGCATTTTCCTGACTCTCCAAGTGCTCGGAGACAACTGACCAGCCTCTCATTCGTTAGCTAGGAACGCCTTCTACCGAATCCAGTCGGTGCGCGCCCGCTCTGAAGTATACTCATGGCGGAAGAAAATGAGTCCTATTACTTTCCGGACAAACCCTGTATGAGAATTTGTCACAGCTATCTTTTTCCTCTCTGCAATAAGTGGAAATCTACTTTGAAATGGTTAGTGTCTCGTAGATGGCATTGTTGCAAACTATATATTACACATTGTAAAATATCAGGAATATAATTAATTTATAAAATAAATAGTAAGGGACCTAATTTGCTACCCTGTGACACACCTACTGTAATGTTTTTAATGCTTGATAGTGCATTGCCAATTTTGTTTCTTTTACTTCTATTGCTTAAATAATTTTGTAATATGTTGAATACTGAACCTTTAAATCCATAGTAATCCATATTTTTTGTAATAAATGTTTTTTGTACATTTGAAAAAAATAGGTGACCTTCCTTTTAGGATTCCTCTCGTAATTATCACTGAAAATAGTTTAAATTCAGCCTCTTCATAAAAAGCGAGAGTTGCACGTTATTGATAATTATTAACAAGTTTGTCTTTTACTCAAAACATCAAATTATTGGAGCAGTGTGTGTATAACATAGTTGTAGACTTTGCAGAGCAATATCAGTTGGTAACACAGGGATCCGGGCTGCGACCATTGATTTTTATTCTTATTGTGAATGATCTCCCCCAAACAGGTAAAAGGAGGAAAAGTAGTGATGTTTGCAGATGATACATCTGGGAATCCCCAGACGAGATTAAAAGGAAAGTAAACAGTGTTATGTCAGAGATAGTCTTGGTAAAAAAAATCAACTAACACTAAAAACTACTAAAAAAGGACAAAACATTTATATATATATATATATATATAAAAAAGCAATTACTCCATTGGACAGTGGGATATATTTCCAATCTGGTGCAAAGCTACTAGGTACTTTATTATACTCTGATCTCAGGTTTACTACTCACATAAATCATGTCTGCAAAAAAACTGAACAAGGTGTACTTTGCTATTTCCAAAATGAAACCCCTCCTAAGCCACGATGGTCTTTTAAGCCTATACTATGCATTTGTAGCAGTGTCTACTGATATTAAAAGGGTATTTTTAGCTCAAAAGAAAATCATTAGGCTCATTTGTGGTTTAAACTATAACGAATCATACTGGCAAACTTTTAAAGAGGAATTCTAACACCTCATCAATTTACATATGGGAATGTGTAACATTTGTGAAAAGCAACCCTGATGGTTTTACTCTCCTTGGAAGTAACCACGACTATGCAACACTTTTAAGTTTTCCTAGGCATAAAACAACAGCATATGAAAAATATGTACTTTATGACTGCTTTTATGCTACAGAAAAGTTTTTATCTTACAAATTTTATATTGTCATTATCATGTGTAGATCTTGCTTTTTTAATTGTATTTGTTTTTTTTTTTTGATTTGTCACATGCATCACTTTACTAAAATGTGACCAATAAATATCTATCTAACCTCGATTCTCCATCTTTCAGGGACCTATGCACATTAGCCGGCTTAAACTGGCTAAACGACGAAGTGATCAATTTCTACATGAACCTGATAATCGAGAGAAGCAAACAGTCGCCCGATCGACCAAAAACATTTGCCTTCAACACGTTCTTTTACCCAAAACTTCTCAAGGACGGTCCTCAGGGACTAAGAAGGTGGACGAAACGAGTGGATCTCTTTGAACATGACATGATCTGCATTCCAATACATCTGGGCATGCACTGGTGTATGGCCATCATTGATTTTAGAGACCAGAGCATCAGGTATAGTTTATGCTTAATACAGGTTGTGGCAGCATAACTTTCTTTTTTAAAATGCGCGTCATTCAGTTGGTTGATGTCTTAGCATAGCGCTAGTGGTCTCGTTCGAGAGGCGGGACTATAAAGTTTTATCCCGACGAAGTTCAGTCGACATCATGTGTTGGGACAGTAAGGAGCGTACTTTTGCTGTTGCGGTCTATTTTTCGAGCGGATGTTGTGTGATCGCTCCTCAGCGGAATCCCTTCAATTTTGTTCTGTTGGCTCCTGTCCCGGACTGGAAATCAATTGTCACGTGGGTCACATTCAGACAAACGCAATTGCGACAAGACGACGAACTGGAGGCCCTCATCATTAGATCATCTGAAAACATTGAGGCAGTAAGAACTTGAATGTTTATTTATTTATTCCCTCTAAAAAACATTGTAAAGGAATTGGAATACATTTTCAAATCTCAAAAAACCTATATCTAATAAACAGCAGTCGGCGTATTTCCGGCCATGTTACAGCAGGGACGGAGTTCGGTTGTTCCTCACCTGTTGAATGTGTTTCGAGCATGTGTGGCCACGGGCTTCACACCTAGAAGCTGGCGGCAGGCTAAAGTGGTATTCATTCCTAAACCGGACAGAGCTAGATATACTGGCCCGAAGGATTTTCGTCCGATTATTCTTTCATCTTTTGTGCTTAAGACACTGGAAAGGATAGTTGATAGATACTTAAGGGATGACCCGCTGGAAAGATGTGTCATTCATGCAAATCAGTTTGCATACCAAGCTGGAAAATCGACTGATCTGGCCTTACACAATCTGGTCGGTAGGCTGGAGAAGACTCTAGATCAGCGAGAAGTGGCACTCGTGGCCTTTTTGGACCTTGAAGACGCACCACAACCGACTCTATCAGACATGCCTTGGTTAGACACGGGGTTGGATCAATCCTACTAGATTGGGTCCTATCTACTCTGGAGGGTCAGGTAGTAACAGCTATGCTGAATGTCGTAAGCTGCAGCGTGAGCGCAGCTAGAGGCTGCCCTCAGGGCGGAGTTCTGTCACCCCTACTGTGGTGTATCGTGGTGAACGAACTCCTCGTTAGGTTCAGCAGTATGGGTGTCTACGTGCAAGCCTATGCTGATGACGTAAGCATAGTAGTTAGGAGGCGTTTTTGTAGAACAGCCTCGGAAATTATGCAGGGCGCTCTGTGGAATCGTGGAGTAGGGAAGTCGATCTTTCTGTTAATGCTGAAAAGACCGAGCTGATCCTATTCACTAGGAGACTAGGGGACTAGATTAATTTTTTCCCAGTCAGTGAAATATCTGGGAATTATCCTGGATTGCAAACTGAACTGGAGAGAGCATGTTGAATACAAGGTTAGCAAGGCTCGATGTGGGCCTGTAGACGTGTATTCGGTGTAAGGTGGGGGCATAAACCCAAAGTGGTATACTGGCTCTACACGACGATAGTACGTCCATCTCTCTTGTACGGCTCCCTGGTCTGGTGGCCTTGCATTAGAACTGAGACAACTAAGGCCAAACTCAATAAAATTCAGCGTTTGGCCTGTATTAGTATTACAAGCGCAGTGCGAACAATGCCATTGAGTGCAATGGAAGCTCCTAGGAGAAGAATAACAACCTTATCCGACAGCCAGGCTGCAATGAAAGCACTAAGTGCCTGTAAGATTACTTCGAGTCTTGTATTGCAATGTGGCTGTGGATTGCCTCGCAGCGAGACATCCGGTATCGTTAATATGGGTACCGGGGCACGCTGGGATAAGGGGCAATGAGACGGCGGACACTCTGGCGAAGACAGGATCAGCCAGCAAGCTCGTTGGTCCTGAGCCAGCTCTAGGAGTGACCGCGCATAAAGCTAGGAGGAAAATGGAGACGTGGGTTGCAAGACAACACTCTCAGAAATGGAGAAGTATCTCCAGACATCTCCGCCAGGAACGGGAACTCATTGAAGGGCCCAGTGCTAAGGATGGACCCTTCTGCCTATCTCTGGATAGAGCCAACCTAAGGTTGCTGGTAGGACTGTTGTCTGGCCATAACACGCTAATGCGTCACCTGCACGTCATGGGGGTGGCTGAGGATATTGTGTCGCTGTAAAGATCTGAGCTACTATAGGCAGACTATACTGGGGTCCATTACTTTGGACCCTCAGGACGTCAAGGAGCTTGGACTCAAGGCGATTCTCAACTTCGCTAAAAGGGCGAGGCTTGTGATCCAAGGATTGTAGAGTTGCATAAGGGCCCGCTTAAGCGGCCTATGCACTGGCTCCTTATGGTGGCCGGAAAAAATAAGATTTAACGTCATATATCACAATATTCTTCCTCACTATAAAATCCATTTTTAATTAATAGCCTTTCAAGGGATTTTTGAATGTCTTTAGACTGTGGCAGTTCTTTATTTCCAACGGAAGTTGGTTAAACATTTCTGGGCCATTAATATTTGGGGACTTACACATAATTTGAGTTCTATAGGGTGGTATATAAAAGTCTGCACTAATCCTGTAATTAATTGAATGAATTTGGCCGTGTGTTGGGAATTTTTCTCTATTCTTAAATATTTATAAACAAGTTTCCAATATATTTAAACCAGTAAGTGTTAGTACTCTGAATCTCTTATAAACAGATCTCTACATGATGTTCTAGCACTAACACCTGCTATAAAATGTATACTGTAAAAGTTTTGCAATACAGCTTTATTTATTGACTTTGTAATTTCCACCACATTCAATACACTCCTCCGTCCACCAAAACCAGTCCTTAAACCAGCTCTGTCAAGTTTCACCCGTGAGTGCGGCGGCACACTCGTTGGCCCAAGCCCTCAGAAGGTCCTCATCGCTAGAAAACCGTAGAGAGCAAGATCTGGACTGTAAGGAAAGTGCTCAATATGTTTCAGACCAGTAGTGGTCAAATACTCGGCTTTGGCGCGGTGAGATGGAGCGTTGTCATGGAGGAGGTACCAAGTGTCCATTCTTGAGTTTGGCCACAGGTTTTTCATAGTCTCTATGACTTTAGGCAGGCACTGTTCCGTGTACCACTTAGCTGAGTGTGATTGTCTTAATGTCCAAAACGATACGTTCCACAATCCCGATCGATTTGAAAAATACAGCTAACATTTTTTTCTTAACAGATCGGGGATTTTCTGATAGCTACGGGTGTGTCCTCATCATCAAAGACCTAAACTTTGTTTTGAGCCTTGGTCGGCACATCGTAATAATAGAGCCAAGTCTCGTCACCTGTCATGATGCTGTTCAAATACCGAGAAAACCCCTTATCTAACATTTTCAGCATCTTTCGGCACCAAGTCGTACGACGAGTCTTCTGAGAGAACAAAGTTTCCTTACGTGTAAATGGTCATGCAGAATTGAATGAATGGCTGCTGCATGAAGGGGTAAGGTCTCCTCTATCTGTTGGCATGTCACTCTCCAGTCTTCGTCAAGCACAGCATTAATATTTTCCTCTGTTAGTGACGTTCGCGGCTCCAGAGTAAAATTGCCCCTTTGGAATTCTCTGTACCACCTGAATATAGTCTTACGATGAGGACAATCATTCTTTAATGCAAGTGCCATTTCTTCAAAGCTCTGGTCTATGCTTAAACCACGCGTAGTTATACCGTAAAGCTGCCCCTTATCACACTACGTGACCACGATGCCATAGTCCGCACTTCACACTCAATACGAATGAACAACTAAATCAACAACAACGCTGCTGGCGGCTACTATGCACTCATGAACATGTCTCAACATGCAGACTTCTGCGTCCGTTTGTTAAGTCATATTGCAAAACCTTTATAGTACCCTTTGTACATCTGATAATTCTCTTGTGTTTCATGAACACATCTTTCGAATTAGTAGAGATCCCCAAAAATGATATGTCATATCTTATGACAGAGTCCTGTGCATGATACAAACTAATTAATTGATTTAATCGTAGAATATCTCTTAAATATAATAATAGATAATATAATTAATTGAACCTCGTTATTACATGGTCACAGTGCTGCTTCCACCCCATACATGAATCCAAATTGACACCAAGGAATTTTATATATTTCACATCATATATCAATATTATTTAATTTGAAACTGAGTTCGTTAAAAATTTTTTTTCTTGTGTGAAATCTAATATATTGTGTCTTGGTTAGATTTAAATATAAATTATTATTTAAAAACCTGTTATGCACAATAAAGCATCTATATTATCTTGTAATTGTTCCCCTGAAAAAACAGAAGCTACAATTGTAGTACCATCTGCGAATGAAGTTATTAATTCATAAAGTGCAACATTAGGTAACGCGTTTACATAAAGCAAAAATAAAATAGGGCCTAGAACAGTCCCCTGCGTTGCGATCACCATGGCGTTCTGCGCGCAAATTTGGGTCTGCCCTTAGACTTTCCGATCGTTCTGTGAGGAGAATTATTCATGATGATCTTCATTTCTATCCAGATGATAATTGTGTCGACACTGTCAATTATCGGATGAACGCGTGTGGGCGTCTTCTCGAATTCGTTCCTGAGGACGCTATTGTTTTTTTTTAGTGATGCAACGCATTTTCATTTGTGTGGATCTGTTAAGAAACAAAACATGCGCTACTTGGATGACACCAATCCTCTAGAATTGTATCAAAGCTCTGCATTCAACTAAAGTCACAGTTGTGGTGTGCAATTGAATGAAGTCGCAGCGTCAGTGAGTTGGGACCAGTATGTACAGGAATGTAAAGGATTTTTTTCCAATGCTAGATGAGTTGGACTCGGGGGACATTTGGTACCAACAAGATGGTGCAACAGCACACAGTTAAATAGCATTGATGGCTATTTTGAAGGAACACGTCCAAGAACGCCTCATCTCAATCAGGGGAGATTTGGAGTGGCCTGCCCTTTCTCCCCCTTGTAATTTTTTTCAATGAGGTATTTTGAAATCCCGTAAATTTATATGACCCGCCCAAGAACACTACAAGATTTGAAGACCAACATCCAGGAAGAAATTGCCACCATATGGCCTGCTATGCT